TATGATTTTTCCACATTTTTCAATATTTTTCAAGTATTTTATATTGTCATGATTTTTTTTATTTTTTTTAACAATTTTTTATAATTTTCCACATCATTTCATAATTTTTCATTATTTTTTTATTTTTTCCTAATTTTTTAATTATGATTTTTCTTGATTTTTTAATGATTTTTTCATGTTTCAATATTTTTCATAATTTTTTTATGATTCTGTCATGATTTTTCATAATTTTCACGATTTTTCATGGTGTTTCATGATTTTTTCCATGATTTTTTTTATATTTCATAATTTTCATGATTTTTCCATATTTTTCAAGATTTTTCAAGGTTTTTATATTTTCATGATTTTTGTTTATGATTTTTTTCACAATTTTTTATAATTTTTCACATCTTTTGATAATTTTTTCCATTTTCTCATAATTTTTCATAATTTTTCATAATTTTTCATAATTTTTCATAATTTTTCATAATTTTTCATCATTTTTCGTGATCTTTCAACGAAAGATAATGAGAAAAAGTTATTATTTGTAACAAAAATGCACAAATAATGAAAAACATATTATTACGCAGCACCTTGCAGTAGCCTGCGGCTATTATAGGAAACGTACGAATAGAAAAAGAAGTGCAATATTACTCATCGGACTACAGTGCTGCGGTCGTCATAACTAAAAGTACAAGTAAAAGAAGATAGAATAGTTCAGAAATGTCATTACCTACCAAGAAAATTCTAGACGACAGTTCGAGAAGGTTCAAGAAGGGTCAAGCAAGCTAATGTTATCAGTTGAATAGTTCTTGTAAAAATTGAGTTGAAATAAATTGTAATACACCAAAAACCTGCGTAACAATATTTTTCTTTATTGTTCGTAGAACTGGTAGTAAACTCAGACCTATTTTCACTCGTGGTTCAAATTATTACAGATTAACCGGATAGAGTAAAGCTTTATTTACAACCATTGCATCGTAAATTTTGGACATTTCGCACGGTCTGAGGAAGTCAGTTTGCCCACAAAGACACTTTCCAGCCCTGCGTGTCATTTAAGTTGGTCCAGAACCACTGTTACCACATAACAGCGGCTGTGTACGTATTTCTGTTGTTTAAGACCGGCGACAATTTAGCCTTAATGTTTCTTTTCGTGTTTTATCGGGATGACATGTGTTTACGGCGAACTTCCGAGAATGGAGGATGAGCTAATAATGGCTACATCGGTAAAAGTTTCTTTTATTGAACCTCTTATATAGGGTAACATATTTCGCGAAGTTAATTTTATATGTTGATGTCAGAGAGGAAGGAAATTGGTAAAGGAGAGGCTTTTTCCGTTTGCTATAAATTCACTTGTTGCCGATTTCCTAATTTGATTTCCTATGGTAATAAACAATGTTATAGAGTAGATTAGTAAAGTTTTTTTTTATTGCATCTCTTATATTGGGTAGGTAAAGTATTTCGCAAAGTTACATTTTATATGTTGTCGTATATCACAGGAAGAAAATTGTGCTGTGCTTTTTTTCGTTTGCTATAAATCCACTTGTTGCTGATTCTTTAATTTGATTTTCTATGGTAATAAAAAGAAGACATCTTTCTGCAAAAAATTATCATATCATTACAACAGCAGACAGCAACAAAATCAATAAAAATTTGTAAGGAAAACTAAGTATTTTCTCCACGTATCTTTCACAGATAAGTCAGAAAACATGTAAATTATTAATATAATATGAAACATTTGTTAAATACATTATTTAAAAGAATGATTTATAGATTTTATTATTTTAGTAGCTTAGTTGATATTCTTGGGACAATGAATTATTTTAGAAAATATATACCCAGTATATAAATATAATGCTTTAACCTAACTTTTTCTAATCAAACACTGAAATATTGCAAATTCTATATTAAAAACAAAATTATCTCATGTAATAAATATTCCCACTTTGCACCATCGAGCAATACTAAATTTCAGATCTATCCTATATGTACCCCAGTTTTTAATATCATTAATATAGATGTTAAACAATATGGGTCCCAAATGGGAACTTTGACATATTTTTAAATCCAATGAAAACAATACAGAGTGGAATAAAAATGGCAACTTTCATTAAGTTTATTCTGCCATCTATTTTAAACTAGCAAAAGCTCCAGCCGTCTCTAGCTTAAAGAGCCTCAATTAGACTGACCACCTGGTGGTGGTCTCCTTTTGGTATCAAACAAATAAATGCATTAGCCCAATGCAGGTCAGCCCGACCTACTAGGACTACTTGATACAATGATACAGGCTCTTTCTATAATCAGACTAAGTACGAGGATGTATCAGAAAATAACGAGACTGGTGCTATAGTATAACAACGAAACATTTATTTAAAAAAATTCAACAACTATCCTTCGAAGTACTCTCCATTCTGTTGAATACACTTATTCCATCGCTTTATCCACTTATCATAAACTTCTGAGAAACCATTTTTTGATAGTCTGTTTAGTATACCCATCACAGCGTTGTTGAGCTCTAAATCCGACTCAAATCTTCTACCTCTCAATTCTTTTTTGACTTCAGGAAACAAATGAAAGTCACATGGAGCAAGGTCAGGAGAGTAGGGGGGATGAACCATAATTTCAACCCCTAATTCTTCAATTGTTCGTTGACAAATCATTGATCTATGAGCCGGAGCATTGTCGTGATGCAGCGTCCAGCCAAAGTCCTGATAAAGCGGCCTTTTTTTCTTTAATTTTGCCTTCAAGGGTCCTCTAAGTACATTAGAATAGTACTCCCCTGTTACTGTATGTCCTCTAGGTACAATGTGATCGTAAATAACGCCAAATTTATCAAAAAAAATCAGGTGCATCACTTTACCAACGCTTTTAGCAGTTTTGGCCTTCTGCGGTCTTGGGCTGCCTTTATGCTTCCATTGCATACTTTGAGACTTCAATTCAGGATCGTAATGATAAAACCAACTTTCGTCACATGTAACCACATTATTTAAAAACTGTGGGTTACGTTGCAATTGCCTTTTCCACTGCTGACAAATTGTCACTCGATTCGCTTTTTGTTCATCGGTCATCACTTTTGGAATCCATCTTGCCGCGATCTTCCGGTACTTTAAATCTTCATGAATAATTTTTTGAGTGGTACCGTAAGACAAATTAACATTATCAGAAATTCGTTTTATGCCAATCCGGCGATCATTTTGTATCAAGTCGTTAATTTCTGCAATTTTTGTGTCATTTCTCGCAGTTTGTGGTCGACCGGGACGAGGTTCATCTTCAACTGATTCACAACCGTCTCTAAACTTTTTATGCCACTCAAACACTCTACATCGTGATAAACTATTATCTAGATATGCACCTTTAATCATTTCAAAAGTTTCAGTTGGTGTTTTACCCAATCGAACACAAAATTTTATCGCGTATCTTTGCTCCACTTTCATTTTTCGATGGGTACGCAAAACACTGACAATTCAATAATTAATTTGTAACAAATGTTAAAAGTTAAATCAAAGCCTACTTGCGGGGTAGTACATTAAATATAAGGCTTTCATGTCTCATTTTTTGGGTTATAAAATGTTACCTCTGAAAGAAGTTATAGCACCAGTCTCGTTATATACTGATATATCCTCGTACATGTTTTATATTTTTTTGTTTATATTTGCATTAAACATATAAATATGGAATATGCAAAATTATTCATTTGACTTTATAGGAATTGGGTTTTACTGTAACTATATAATATGCAATATTAAAACCATATCTGGGATATTAGATGTAGATACTAGATATTTTTTATTTTATTGTTAATGCGTCAAATAAAGCGGAAAGTAAATGAATCATTCCTCACAATAGACTTTTAAAACAAAATTACCATATTTACGTATCCGTGAAAGATAAAGTCCCATTTTCTCTATACCTACGTGTATTTTTGATAATATGGCGCTTTTAAGAGCAAACTTTATCGCCGTCAGAAGAATTCGTCGTAAAACTCGTCAGCGTTGACAAAAAGCGCGTCGTTATCATTTCGCCCGGTCTGAGTGTTCGTTATTTATGACAGGATGGTGAAAAATGTCCAACTTAAAAGGTTTAATTTCCAGAAGGGCCTGCAGAAGACACCGATTAAAAGTTACGAGCCAGATAGGACGGTATTAATGATTTTCTCTTACCGTTTTTCTTTTCTCTAAAAGTAGGTTTTAGAACGTTATTTCCGCGGAAATTGCACTTCCGCTGTTTTGAGGAAAATCATAGGTTTATTATTTACGATATCCCGGACATTAAATTTTTACTTATTTCGAGGATATAAAATTTTACGGGAGTTTGTTTTGAACGGATCTTTTACCAAGCAAACAAGAAGTTTATTTTCAATTTTATACTGTTTGCTAGTCTTTAGTGAAATTTCTATAGCTAATTAATTTTTAATCTATTTTCTTTTCTTTTAAGATTAAAACTGCTGGAGTATAAATATCAAACATCAACAACTCTATAATAAAATATTTTAAAAATTATTATTAAATTGTTTTTCCATTAATTCCAGTTAACATCAATTTCCTATAAAATGTTTCAGTGTAAGATTTAAAATGCACTACAAAAAAATATTTGTCCTTAGCCTTTTATATCCATCGTTTTTAAATATTTATTCTCTCGTCTTCTCTTTTTTATAATTTCTCTTATTTCTGCACTCTCTTCTTTAGTTGTTTTCCTAACCAATTTGTTAAAAATAGTTTCGAATTATAGTCAATGATTAGGGCTGCAATGTTAACCATAAAAATTCCTAAATCACACAATTTTGATTTCGAATGCAAGTAATTTCTTTGCATTAATTTCTATCTAGCAGAAATTCCAAATCATTTTAGGAAAACCATTTATTCCTTCCCTAGTGGGTAGTTCTGTTATACATACGCTATTATCTAGATTAAGCGGTTTCAGCCCTACGTTGATTAGTCAGTCATAATTAAAGCCGTAACCAGTAGCCAGAATAACTGTTTAGCAAAGGCAAAATACACGTTTGGACAAGCACAAACTTTATCATAACTTATTTTATTGCAAGATTTATGAAAAAAATACATTGTAAAGTAAAAATAAACACAGTGTCTAGGTACACGCTAACTTGTACGCAATTCAAAAAATTATATAGACGCGAGACGTCTTGACAGAGTAGGTAAACTGTGTGTTTATGCCGGTAGGCGTAGCTAGGTATGGATTGAAATTTTCTGGTGGCGGCGAAGCCGCCACCCTACAAGAAGTCGTTGCTTCGTTTTCTTGTTATCACGGCATTATTATTATTTGTTCATGTATGTGAAATTTGCTTCTAAGGTTTATAAAATACTATTGCTAGTCACGGTGTAAATGAAAACAGACAAGACGTATTCACACAAACACCTCTCACCACAGCAATATGACGTTTCGCGTGTATATAATTTTTTGATTTGTGTACACTTTAGCGTGTACCTAGCAACAGCGAAAAATAAAAATATATATATATATATATATATATATATATATATTTAAATATCGTCACAGAATATACAGTAAGTTGTCCTTAAAATCTACAACTAATTTGAAATATATATTTTTAAAAAGTAGCTAATAACTTTTTTCTACATCCATATTATTAATTATCCTATCTATTCAGAGACTGTACCACACATAATTATGCTCTACCAATCTCTTGAACGGATAGGTAATGTCGTATACATTCTAGTAAGAACATTATTATACTATTATTATTAAACATAAATAATTACAGAAAAGTAGATACCTATCTACTTTTCGTCTATATATCTAAAACTACTACTTGACTAATTTTTGTATATTTAACCATACATCTCCGGTTTTTTTTAATATTAATTGATTTGGTACGAATTTACATCCTTTTGTCGTTTTGTCGCTAAGCGTAAAATCGTAATCCTTCATCATCGTCAACAAGCCCAATTTGGTGTTAAGAAGGCCGAAACGTTTTCCTGGAAACAAAACAATTTTTTAATTAAATAAACAAGATAATTTTTTTACCGTATATTAAAAAAGTTTTTCAAAAAAGCTCAAAAATAAGAAACATTAATTTATTCTAAAATGTGTATAATACAAAAGATTGAGGCCTAAATGCCGTGGGTTAACCCATCCCCACGTATTACAGATACATATGGCAGACTAACTATTTGGAAGGTACAGAAGCCAATCAGTGTCATAGTCATAGTTTTGCTGAAAATTACTTGTAATATTTTTTGTGTTAAATCAAAGTTATTTAAATTTACAAATTTTTATATTTTCAAAAAAATTTTCTTGTATCGCTTTTCAATAAAAAAATCATATTAAGCTCTTTTTTTATTACACTATTAAACATATTTGCATCCAATTACCGGATAAGAACCATAAATACATTATATAAATACATAAATGCAATCAAATTACATAAATAAAATAAAAATTATATAAATGTCATAAAATTACATCAGTTAGGTTAGGTTTAGTTGTTTTTTGGCAAATACCATTTATTAAAGCTAGAAGTGCTGGGTGATGCTGTTTGTCTTCACCTAACAATATATCTGGCGTTGAAACAACCTCACAGTCCAGATTTGAAAATACCAAATCCAAAAGTCTATTATTTTGATTTAAAAGAGTTATATTGTTTTAAATCGAAAAAATAAAAATTATTCAAGTAACGTACCTTGAAGCTATTATTCATTTGTGTTTAACTGACTTTCATTGATTTACTTCTAAACCCTCCATGAAGAGTTTGAGTATTTTTCTCATGGACCCTTTTGTGTTTAACTGACTTTCATTGATTTACTTCTAAACCCTCCATGAAGAGTTTGAGTATTTTTCTCATGGACCCTATCATTTAATTTTGACCAAATTAATATGGGACCATCCCTGAAGTACCCCTTTTTCAACAAAAAAATAATCATTAAAATCGGACATCGTAAACATACTTAAAAAAATAATGAGTAAGTTGGAATTATCCCCAATCAATTGTTATGGAATCTTTGAATATGTTTTCTATTAAATACAAGTATTAAAAGTAATTTTAAAAATCGTGCAGTTGTCATCATCGCACTTCTTACTTACCAACGCATATTCTTGGTCCTTCTCCAAACGGCATATTAGCAACGAAAGGTCTGCCTAACTTATTTTCGTACGTCCATCTCTCAGGGTCAAATTTCATGGGATCCGGATAGTATTCTGGGTCTCTTTGAATACCCATGTTTGTTACCATAACGAACGTATCTTTTTCCAGAGTAACATCAGTACCAGGTATGGGGTAGTCTTCTTTACAGACTCGTGCTACTATAGGGAATATTGGGTATATTCGCAAAGTTTCTGAAAAATGAAGTTTATTTGGTTTATTAGTTTTTTTTTTAAATAAATGAAAATGATCTGTAAGATATGTAGAAGAAAAGAAAATTTGTATTTTTAAGTATGTATAGCAAATAATTTAGAGTTGAGTTGTAGTAGAGAATATGTCGCTGTCGCTTTAGGTACTTACCATCGATAACATGTTCCAAATACTTCATTTCCATGATAGCATCATACGTCAATTTATTATCATGTTTAACTAACACCCTATTTATTTCGTTTCTCAATTTAGTTTGACAATCTGGATTCTTCGCAAGCTCGTATAAAGCAAACGTAAGAGTTGACGAAGATGTTTCGAAACCAGCACAGAAAAATAAAAACATCTGAGTGGAAAATTCATCCATATTCAACGGCTCCATGACGCGTTTACCAGTATAATCTTTTTCTTCTTCTCTCCTTTCAGTTAACTTCATTAAAGTGTCTGTCAGATCGTTTTTGTATATATTATTCTTCTTTCTGTAGTTGAATATGCTGGTGAACATATCTACGACGTATTTTTCGGTTTGTTTCGGGAATATCCTGAAGTTGAACATTTGCAAAACGTTTCTGGGGATGGTGACCACCAAGGTGTTGTTTAAGAGTCTCCATTGATAGTCGAAGAACTGACGACCGTGATGTAGTAAATCTTCGTTTTCGTTTTTTAAAGTGTTGGTGTCTATACCGAAAGCGCAGGCTGAAATTGTGTCTGTTGTAAAACGGGTCAGTAAGCTTTTTATGTCTACAGATTTGCCAGTTGTTGAGTATTCATCCAACCACTGTAAAAATAATAAATTGCTTCTATTTAATAACGCACTACCTGAGGGCCATGGGATACTTAATTCAACAGTATAATATACTTCATATAATATAAAAACCAATGGACGTCATCGATGACGTAATAAATTTTAGACTGTCACAGCTCCAAAAATGAATAATCTTTCTCAACTACTACATTTTTATTTGATACACCTGTATGTGTTAAAGTAAAGTAATAGCTTAGTTACTTTGTTTTCTACTTGTTCCTTTAATAAGTATAATAATAGTGTTTTTTCTAGTAATAGATTAAAATGTTTACATACATATTTTTAATAACAACTTATATAATAACCACTTTAAAGTAATATATACTGGATAATTACATTATTAAGATGATATATATAATTTTTAACGTCAAACTAATTACTATTAAAATATAGAAAATAAAGTAAACAAAATGTCACGCAAATCAGAACATGTCACTAATTAGACTAGATATGTCAATTCCAGTAAAAAGTCACAAACGATTTGAGGTACAAATTAGGAGTACAATTTTTACAAATTAAATATTTCAAATTATATCTATTGATTGCTTTTTAAATGGGATTTAATTTATTTTTTTATCATATCACTAAAAATTGTTCTGGTTGACAATATAATCTATTTTTTTAACTTTACTTTTATATACAGGGTGTCCCATTGGTGCGTAATTACTCGATAAATTAAAAAACACTTAAAAAAGTTTGAAATAATAGTTATATGGATTTTAAAAATATTTTTGAATATATAGAATGTTGCTCTTTTGCTAGACAAATAAAAATTGATAAATAATAGATAAATAATTCAGAATACATTATTTAGAATTTATATTAATGTTAAATTATAGAAAAATAATACTTGCCACTCTTAGAGGATCCACCATCTTCTGCATTGTAATAAACATTTTCCTCATTTTAGCAGATGTAAAAATAGACGGAGTTTTAACTCTAAGATCTTTCCATTTGCTGTCTTCCATATTGAAAAGATGTCCAGATAAAATGTCCTCTTTTGGATTGAGATACATCCCGTGATTAGGAAAATAGTGTGCATCACTTATAACAATTTTCTTTATAATATCAGGATCTACAGGAACATAAACGGGTTTATTCATGTAGTAAAGTCCTCCATGTTTTTCTCCTCTTCTCTTAAATTCTAAATAGGCGTTGGAAAATAGTTCTCCGAAAGTTATTTTTCCCATGTAGAGGTCCAGAGTGTTTCCAAATGGGGTAATAGTTGGGGTTATGTATGGAACACCTCTTCTTTTCCAATATTGGTATGTGTTGTAGAAGTACCATGTTATGTAGGTTATAAGAATAACTATTATTCCTATTAGATATGTGGTGGCGTAGGATAGGTCAAACATTGTCAATCTAAAAAATAAATATATTTTTTAATTGATTTTATAAAATAGTTATTTATGCAACAAGTGTTACTCATGAGTCAAAAAAGGGACTTTACACCACACGAGTGGCATACAATATTTTTTCTACTACCGTACACATAATCCACTAATATTAGAAATATAAAAGTAACTTTTTTTCACTAGTGAAAAAAGTACTTTACTTTACGCACTAGTGTACACATTGTACACAGCAACAAAAATAAATTTATTGGAACTTTACAAATTTATAATTCTTACAGAACAAAATGACTAACAAATGAAAAAATATTTAAAAAAATAGGTTTTTAACTCTTATGAATATTAATATTGAATGTGCAATTATTGCAATTACCAAAACTTAAGGTTTTGGCCTTTTCCAGCACAGAGTTTGAAAAATATTGTGATATTACTTCTGTAACCCTATTTTGAGCTTCGAGTGGTATGGATTTGGCCTTTTCAAGTAAAGAGGTTGAAATATTTTGTGTAACTCTAGTTTCACTGTCGAGTGGTTCCAGTAATTCTTCATTAGAGTTGTCAACGGTAAAATTGTAGCTTTGTTTGGAAGTGGATGGCATACTGTCATCCATCAAAATTTTATTAGAAATTTTGGTTTTTGTGTTATTGTGCTGTCTACGTAGCCTTCTGCAACAGCAAATGATTTCCATCCTCCATGTTTTTTGACCGTTAGAAGGTCTCCTCCAGAATTTGCCAGCATAGTGGCTGAAGACCTAAAGCAGCGTCCTGTAAAAGCCGTTGGATTGGGCAAGTTTAGATACGTTGCTATAACTTGGCATTTTACCAAAAGTATTTTTCCCTACAGGCTGTTTAGAATATTTTCCATTTGCGAATTTTAAAAAAAATCTGTTACAATTTATATTTGATGGTCTTAATGAGGTATATTTTTTTATGAAAGATAAATAATCAACTGCAGAATTATTTGGATTTAAAATCGTAAAAATACGTTCTATTCCATTTTTGGTTTCTGATACTTTGACAATATACACTGTTTGTTTATCTTCCACATCGTTAATTGTCATTTTACATAATTCTTCCCGGCGACAAGCTCCCGCAATTCCAATTATAAAAGCTACCTAAAAAGTAACATATTGTAATGTTACAAATAATTTATTAAACATTAGGAAATATCTTGACGTTGCGCATGTAAAACTCCAAATAAATGCTATTGTATAAAATATAAAAGTTTTAGGTATAATGTGCTGCCTAACAACCCCTGTGGCCTGTTAGGACAGCAACTGATTTTGTTAGGCAACACACCATACGAACACACCTCTCGTTGCAAAACTTTACAGAATATTTTAATTTTATACTGAGCATTCAAGCATTTACTGAGACATTTACTTACTTTGATCATTAAAACCTTGGAATCTGGAGCTTTCAACAGAAAATTAATTAGATCTTCTCGTTCAAAAATTTTGGATTTTTTTGGTTTATAACCTTTATTTTTTTGTTTGAGAAACGCTATTAACTTGTTGAATTTCGAAATATCAACGTTGTTTTCATATTTTAAGGTGCCTTTAAGCATATAATAAATCGACCATAGGGTAGAAGCTTTGCAATTCTTCAATTCATCAGAGAAATATGCTAAAATAACGTTTTCCGAATATTTTGTCACCTTATTCTTCCTACACCATTCTATAAATGCATTGTATTTTTGCTGATAAATATATGCAGATTTTTTTGGCAATAAATTTTCAGTGGCCTTTTGTGCACTGCATAAGATATCTGGGGGAGTATTATCAAATTCGCTATCGCTAGATAAATTTGAATCCATATCGATTATGACAGATATAATAAACTGCAAATAAAATTTGAATTTAAGTAAACAAACATTAAAAAGTAAAACTTTTTACCTTCTCAAACTTGATTGAGTTTAAAAAAATGCTAAATTGGCTTTAGAATCTAATCTTGAACTTAAGTATACTTTTGTCGTGTTCTGTTATAAGGTAGGTACTAATTAAAAGTATATATTGACAGTTCTTCTAATCCATACAGCCACGGCCAACTTACTTTTACCAAAATCGACATCCACTGTATGTTTACTTTTAATTAAATCGATGACATTTAGAGAAAATTATAATTAAAATAAACTGTTGGTAATTTGTTGGACACTAAATAGATATAAGCAAAAATAATTTATTTATTTGTCTTAGAAGGAGATAGCAAAAAATGTTAATATAAAATAAAACGTTATATTTTGTTGTTATGTACAAATTTTGTCAAATTTTACTTTTTTTAACTAGTGCGTAAAGAGTTTTACTTTACGCACTAGTGAAAAAAAGTACAACTTTATACACTTCGTGGAGTGCGTAAAGTACGTACTTTACGCACGGTAGTAGAAAAAAATATTTTGTTACGTTTTCGATTTATGTTAAATTATGACTTTTAATTGAACACTTTTAACACCCTGTATCTTATATTCCTATATGAAAATTCATCAATTAACGAAAGATATCTGGGCTAGAGCGTTATCAATCGAATATACACTCTGTATATTATTATAATACGTAACAAATAAATATGTTATTAACGAAAACATAATTTTACCAGCAAACTTAATAAATAAAGATATAAATATATGTATTTGATTGATTTGATAAAACAATATAAATAAGAATATAGCATCAGCTTAAAATTATAAATAAAAAGGTTTTGATACATAGGTAAAGTATTAATAAAAATAAAATGAGTAACACATCTAGCTAATTTTTTTAAATATAAATTTTCTGGATCTTATTTATTGAAAAGTAATCACGATTTTCAAGTAAAAGATAAAGCTTAATTTTTATGCACATCACCCTGTTGTTCAAATTAAAACATTATCTAAAATGGTTTTGAAAATTTACAAGATAAATTTTCATCATGCACTATTATGAGAAATTTGTGTAAACATTGATACTATTTTTTTTTTTTTTAATTTTACTTTCTCGGTATAATAATAAACAATTTAAAAACATTAACCCTATTTTAATAATAAATAATACTCACCACCTCACCAAGCTATTAATAATTTACCAATATATGCACAAAAATCCCTGATTTCGAAACAATCACTGCAGCACAAACAACATTTCTTCCGTCAAAGCAATCGTATTTATAAGTTTTTCTTATCAATATCGACAAAAATAATGTCAGTGGAACTAAAAATCGAGTTCTTTTAAATAGCACAGAGCGGTGAAAGATTTATGGTAATATTGGACAGATACGCTAAGTGATACTGTTTATATTTTTCTTGAAATTATAAATATTGTCTCTTCTGTTTACACGTTTTAAAGATTATGAAATTTTGGAACAATTTATAATATGGTTTTATTAAAAGTAATAGTATATTACATACATACATAACAACTTACTAGATAGTGAGAGGCATATTATCAGAGAATTAATAAATAATTAAATAACAATATATAAAACACTACCCCATTCATAAAAAAAATCATGATTTAAATCTTTTTAAATATTAGTCATAAAAGTTTTTAAATATTAGTCATATAATATATAGGGATATATATATATAATAAATAAATAACAATATAAACTAACTAAACAAAACAAAATTTGTATTTTTCATGTTAGTGCATTTTCTATTTTTGTTTATTGGCTGTTTACCATTTTTCTTTTGTATTTTATGTATTTTTATTCTATTTTGTGTATTTTATGGTATTTTAATATTTTTTCTATTTTTGTGTATTTTATTCCATTTGTATATACTTGTATTTTGTTATTTCTTCACATGTAAGATATAAATGAACAAGAGCTAAGTCCCGTGCGCAACCTTTTTAGGTTTTTATGGGTTACCCTCATGTTTGTTTTACTTAAGAAGGTATATGTTAATACAAATTTTATAAAAAAAAAAATGTATAAGTAAAAATAAACATTATTATTATTATAAGTGTGGAAAGTGCAACATTAGCACGAGCGCGAGTGCGGAAACTAAACGAGTGCGAGTAAAACACTTTCCAACGAGTTGTGTACACTATTTTTCCTACGACCACACACAAAATCCTTAAAAAAACGTCTTTTTTTAAATGAGAAAGTCAATTAAACCATATCACACATGTACTGAAAAGTATATGACACATATGTTGAAAAGAATATCAACACATGTGTTGAAAAGTAAAAAAATCCTCCAAAATATTTTTCATTTTTTAACAGTAGAAATATCCTCTTTTCACATTGAGAGTTTGAGTTTTTGAGGTCGCTGAATTCAATTCTCATGTCAGATTGGACAAATTGACAGTTGACAGCTGTAATTTCACTGTCAACGAAGAATAGAGAAGTAAATATTATCTGTTGACATTGAGAGTTTAAGTTCTTGAGGTCGCTCAATTCAATTCTCATACCAGATTGGAAAAATTGACAGTTGACAGCTGTCAATTCACTGTCAAAGTAGAATAAAGAAGAAAATATTCTCTTTGCACATTGAGAGTTTGAGTTTTTGAATAAACGAAGCCTCTCAAGAATCCAATGACTAACGCTGATCGAAATACTTCAAATATTTGGGCATAATTATATTCCTTTCAAACATAGGTATTCTCTTGGTGAAGATTATCATACCTAGTTGACAGCTGTAAACTTACGGTGTCTTCAATTTTATGACATACTTGGATTGAATGATCTAAAAAGTATAGAAATGTTGCAAATAGCAAGATTTAAGTTAAATGTATTTTAATACCAACACTCATTTTAAATAGAGTTACAGTTGTAAACTATTATTTTCTCTGACTGTACATCAGCTTTGGATTTAGCAGGCTCAAAACAAATCATTCTAAGGTCAAAAATAATTTCTTTAATATTTATTCTACTTTGACAGTAAATTGACAGCTGTCAATAGTCAATTATTCCAATCTGATATTAGAATTGAATGCAGCTCCCTCAAAAGTCCAAACTCCTAATGTCAACAGAGTATATTTACTTTTCTATTCTTCGTTGACAGTGAATTGACAGCTGTCAACTGCCAATTTTGTCAATGGCATGAGAATTGAATTCAGTGACCTCAAGAATCCAAACTCTCAATGTCAACAGAGAATATTTACTTCTTTATTCTTCGTTGACAATGAATTGACAGCTGTCAACGGTGAATTTGTCCAATCTGACATGAGAATTGAATTCAGCGACCTTAAAAACCCAAACTCTCAATGTGAAAAGAGGATATTTACTTTTATATTCCTCGTTGACAATGAATTGACAGCTGTCAACGGTCAATTTGTCCAATCTGACATGAGGGTTGAATCCAGTGACCTCAAAAACATTACCCTATATATTAGAATAATTGAAATATGCTTTTGACATCTGTAAATAGTATTGAAAATTAATAGTTTTGCAACGGGTCAGGGGAGCTTTGGCCAAAATATTCATTTTGGTACTTTGTGCCTATGGAGACTTTTGTTGAGGATGACAAAATCTACAACATATCAAAAATTTAGACAATTTGACAGAAACCCAATTTCCATAAGATTATTGCGGGGTCCTTTACATTTACAGTAGAGATAACTAATATAATAATTAGGAAATGTTTGTAATTAAACTGTATGAACAGAATAATTATTAATTTTGTTTTTTTTTTCTGGGTCGTTAAAAGTAAAATTGTTATTAACATTTACTAAATTGCAGTGGATTTTGTAATGTTGCATTATTATTATTCTCAGTGGTTCCCCTAATATATGTGTTTATTGTCTCTTGTGGATCTACATTAATTTGTTGCTGTATAGATGAAAGTACACAAACTTCTGGGTTGTATAGTTTCAGCGTTTTGTTCAGAGTATTGTTCAATGTTTTTACATGCAACTTCTTCGTTAAATGTCCAATGTTATTATATGGGTCCAAGAATTTATTACAAATTACCTCAAGTCATAAAGACATGTAGAAGTATTGAGCAATTTAAAAGTCATCTTAAAGAATTCCTGGTAACTAATGCTTTTTATACACTCGATGCATTTTTTGCATTATGAAGACACTATCTTTATTTAATATCTTTAGTAGCTTTTACATACCTATAGTTTATTTTTATGACTATATTCCAATACAATTAATATTATCTTATGGAAATGTAGATATAAATAAATTATTTGTTTGACTACTGTTTCAAATAATTCAATTTTAGTATAACGAAATAACAAATTTCTTTTTCGTTAATTATAAACCGATATTTTATCATCTGATGTTTATAAAATAAAAAATAAACATATGCTTATATATTACATATTTCTAAAATTATATTAATTAGAAACAAAACAAAAAATTCATAACTAAGCACCATTGATTAGAATTATTACTATTTACAAACACACTTTTTTCTTTATAAACAAACTTGATTGCATTGCCATGTTTGAATGTTTATATAATTATTTACAAAATTGTTAATCACCATAGTTCAAGAAAATATTCGAGGTTATCTTCAATAGAAACTATTTTTTATTTATTTAACATGGTTATGTCCATAATAACAGCAACTCTATTAACAATTTACTTCTTTGGTGTAAAAGGATGAGGTTAAAGGTCTACCAGACCTGCATATACAATTCTAGGTACATTTTTTAAAACGCTTACATTTTTTTTATTATTATTAATATTAGGAGAGATTAGAATATAAATATTAAAAAATAACATCTGCGTAAACAGAGGTAAATATAAAACAAGTACCAATAAGAATTTAGACTGGTCGTGATATAAGCACCACAATAGGAACCATTTAAGACAAAGCCTACGAAGGAAAAGAAGAGGTGCTTATACCGTTTAAAACTACACGAATCTTTATTTTTTGTAAAATATTTTATACAAAACTATTTTCTCCAACTTGCTGGAGCTTGTCAAATTTTTTTTTATAACTTTGAATTTATAAAGCGTAGCATTTAGATGAAATGCGGGGTATTTTCATACTTTGATGTAACGCGTACTACTAGCTAGTTAAAAAGCCGGACAATTACGTCTAAATCTAGAAAGCCTAGCTGAGTACCTAGATATGGACGCATTTAAGGTTTTTGTAAATGGAAAGCCAGTTTATTTCGAAATAACAAACAACAACAAAAAAGTGGCTTTGGCTGTTTCCTTGCTGTTTTATAGAATAGAATAGAGTTAAAAAATACAAACAACAATAAAATCATCTAACATAATATGTATGTATATATTATATAATCTACAACAATAAAATAAAATACGGAAACTCTTGAAATCTAATGGTAGAAAGATTAAAGAGTTTTAATTAAAATGCACATTTTTAGGGGATCTTGAAGAAGAAGAAGACCCAAGGAGAATGTATCGTCAACAGGGAAATTAATGGAAACGAAAAGGAATTAAAAATTCTAAAATATAATAAAAACTATGGTTTTCAAAGTAAATTTTCAGTAATTTTTTAAAGTAAAATAAGTTTGTTGTAGACTAATGTTTTCAATAACCTATATCTAGGTAGTCGAATTAGGTTAGCATTTCTAGTGTCATAAGAGTGAATACTGGATTGAGTAAGAAATGAAGGAGCTCTTCTGTGAATTTCAATAAGTTTGATATACATATACAGAAACGAGAGTCATAATTTTGTGTAACAAATAAGTCTCTACAAGAGTCCCTATACCCGACATTTGACAAAATTCTTATTGCTCTGTTTTGTTGAACGAAAATATCTTCAGACTCAACCGAGTTTCCCCATAATGAAATTCCATATTATGATATATGAGAATGAAAAAGAGAAAAGTAATTATAATAACCAGTTATGTTTTTTAATTGACGAAGTAAAATCAAGGAACTATATAACTTTTTTTCAATTCTCCAATATGACTGGACCAGTTTAACTTATTGTCTATAGTAAAACCTTAACTTTACAGTTTTAGGATCTGGTAATAGTGCACGCAGCGACACATTCATGTTTTGTGATTTATCTTGATTTAGTTTAAGTCTATTTGCCGCAAACCAATAACTTTCTTTTTCTTCCAATTCATTAGTTAGATTAGATAGTTATGATAAGCTATCTCTTAAATAGATTAACGTAGCATCATCAGCAAATAATATGATTGGGTTCCATGAAATTGCATAAATCCTTTATGTATGTGACGAAAAGTAACGGTCCCAGAACTGATCCTTGCGGAACTCCTGTATGTATAAGGTTTAAATTTGACTGGCATTATTATAAAATACACTTTGAAACCGATTGCTGAGATATGATTTTAAAAGGTGCAACGCAGTTTAACTCCATAGTAATTAAGCTTCTCAAGGAGGATATCATGTGACACACAGTCAAACGCCTTTGACAAGTCGCACAGTGTAACTCCTACAAACTTTCCGTTTTCAATGCCATCAACGGCACACATTGCAGCATCAGACGTTGATTGCTTTGAACGAAAACCAAATTGATGAACAGAAAAAAAATTATTTGATTCAGTAGTAAGTCTAATTTTAATTACTTTTGAAAATGTATCTAAAATTGAAATCGGACGGTAGTTATCAATGGCTGATTCTTCACCTTTTTTGTATAGACGAATAACTTTTGCAAATTTAAATATATCTGGAAAAATACCAGTGAGAAAAATGTTATTGATTAACATTGTCAGAGGGTCTAATATAATTTCTATAGTTTCTTTTATAAGTTTGGCATTAATCCCATGAATATCTGCACATTGCAAATTTTTAAGAATTCTGACAACTCCAAAAACTTCTTCTTTTGTAACTGGAAAAAGAAAAAATTATGAGCAGGGAGTTGGAAATTTTTTAAACTTTAATAAATCATTAATTGGTAAAACCAGTAGACTTAATAATATTCTCCGCCATATTTGAAAAGAAATCGTTAAAATCATTTGGGGTTAGACTTTCAATACAGTTTTTTTTGTTTTGATTTATTTCTTACAATGTTTACCAAATGCCGACTTGCTTTGGATTTGCTATCTGCCATGGCTATATAGTTATCATATGCATTCTTTTTTGCACATTTTAGTTCATTATTATAGTTTTTCTTAAAGTTTTTAAAGTTATTAACAACAACTGGGTCTTTAGTAACATCACAGATAGTTTTTAACTTCGACAAAAAAATCTCTTTGCTCTGTAAATTCTTTGGTAAACCAACAAACAAGCTGCTTATTTAAAATACGTCTGCTCCTTTTTAGCGGAAAATGTATTTCAATGAAGTTACCAAAAAAGAAGATGAAAAGTCAACAACTTGACTTGTTTTAAAGAATCCCCAATCAATTTTCAAAAGAGAAAAAGATAATTTCTGTATGCCAGAGTTTGAAATAGCCCCAATTAAAGTTAATTATTGGGGCTTAGTTATAATTGCAGTTTTTAGAAACAAATACTGCCCTGAATGATAAGAAAATAGAGGGTCATATACCCTAAAAACCCTCATTTAAATTTGTCATAATATTATCTAAGCAACTAGATTGTGTAGGTGTGATCCTAGTATATTCATCGATAGTTATTGAAAGTCCGTAAGAACTCAACAAGCACTTTAAATCATTCAGAGAGGCATAATCTCCCTTAAAGTTAAAATTAAAATCACCTAAAACGATAATTGATTGCGAGGAATTTACAAAATCATCCAAAAGACATTTAAAATTTCGTAGAAAACTCTCATTTCCACCGCTCGGTCTGTATACTGTGAATATATTAATTTTTAATTGATATAGAGTAATACCACAAAATTCTGAAATACCCTTTTCATTATATTTATCAAGATTCAGACATTTTGTTCTGAATTTATTTCTAGAGAAGATAGTAACTCCTCCATGCTCAATATTTTGATCTCTATAATAAAAACTTTCTAGTATATAGCCAGGAATATTGATCTGAGTAAGATTACTTTTATTTTGCCAATGTTCCGAAACTAAAAAGAAATCAAAAAATAGTATTTTAGTAGCAGATAATTATGGCGAGGAAGTAGTGACAGAATTATTCTACCTCTCTTGTCGAAATATATTGAAATTCCATTTTTCTTTAATATTTTTCTCCCCTCTTATTAGCATATATTTTTCGTAAAATACAAATCAAAAATTGACATGTGTCAGAAAGTGTCAAAATTTGCGCTGTCAAAGCAGGCAACGCTGATTAAATAAGCCAATTACGGGAAAGGGATTTCCCCCCTTGGGGGGAATAGATGTTGATTACAAAATTTATCGTGGGAAAGGGGGAAGACTCTATCTAGTAGTAATTGCTCAGTATTTGAATCAGATTATTAGAAAGTCATTATAATGACGTATGAACTTTGACTGCACTTGACTTCGTCACATTTCTAGTAACATTTAAAATCATAAATGTCACAAAAACTCCGTTCCTCTCCCGTTTCAACTTCTAACTAATCTAAACGCTACTATAGATAATATCTTATGTCAAAGACAAAAGCAGCCAAAGTAAAAATGTTAAACTTCTCAAATATATGAATAGAATAAATATTAGTATTTACAAAAAAAGAATTTGAATGTTTTTGTCAAAAATATAATTTATATTCTCAATAAACTCTTCCGTTTAAAAGGAGAATAATTCTTTTTTCCAGAAGAAGTTCCCGTGTCCAATTCTTAACAATATTTATTTAAAAATATGATGAAACAATGTTTAGTTATAATAATTTTATCTTCTAGAAACATTGAGCCATACATCCCCTTTGACTGCTGTAATACTTGCACCAGGAGCGTGCACAATTGGTAATTTTGTCTTTTCATTGACAGTTACTTTAAAATCTTTGAGAGCAGCTACCAAACCCACCTTCGTTTGTAGCAATCCAAATCTTGAACCTTCAAACAAAAATTTGATATTGAATTTATCTGAGATAACAAAATTAAGTATTTTCTTGTAGTAGACTTACCTATACAGATCCTTGGCCCGTCTCCAAAAGCTAAAAACGTCATTGGGGGTCTTTTTGCCTTATTTTCTTCGCTGAAACGTTCTGGATCAAATTTATCCGGTTCTGGGTAATACTCTGGATCGTGGTGAATTCCTTGGATTGAAATGATGATAAAGGTTCCAGCTTCAATTGTAAAATCAGTTCCAGGGATTTTGCAATCTTTGTTGCATTTTCTTGGTGTAATTGGTACAGCAGGGTGTTTACGAAGAGTTTCTATAACATAATTTAATTCAAATTTAATTTTAAAAATAGTATGTATTGACAAATTCTCAGATTTAATAATAAGATCAAGGTACACAAAATGATACAAAAAAATGTGTAGTAAGAATAGAAGGGCAATAAAACGATATATTTTTGTAAAAAAAATATTACAGCATCGGCTTCAGTTAGAACTTCTGTCGAAAACGTCCCTTTTCAGTTTCCTAGCCCTATTTCTATGACCTAAAGTACCTGTACTCATTTTCGTTTACCCCAAGAAAATAGCAAAGTACGAAATAACCTTATCTTACGACATCGACATGACATCAAAAATTAATCAATAAAAAATTGACATAGATATCCTAAGAATGAATAAATGGATGTTAAATGACCTTGTTTGAACTCAACAAATTTTTTCTTGTTTCCAAAACGATTCCACTAATGAATGCAGCATTTTGTCGTAATTGTTTGATTATTATCTTTCTTTAACGCCGACAAAAGAAATCTTGTCAAACCTTCACCAAACACATCATCTATACAACAAAATAATAAAAAATGTTCTATACTAATTCCCGTGATGTTTAAATTAACAAATCTTATACAAACTGAAATTTGTTCTTGGTGACTAGAGTCAGGAGTGCAGTCTAATAATATGGAATAATATTTTGCGTTTTTAGTTAGTTATAAAATTTTGGGTTTGATATTTTCACCAATCAAGTTGGATTATTTCATTTTGTATTCTATCCACGAGATAGTTTTTGTGATCTTTTTTATTTGAGAGCGTTTTGTATGTTCTGACATAATCTGATCGAATTTGGAAATCATTTCTATGCATTTTAAAAAGTTAGTAGTTAATGGGTATACTGAACTGAGCACACGTTTCATGAGCAAGCGCGTCATATGTCACGTATTAGCTGTCAAACTAGTGTTGCCCAACATGTCAATTTTCATGACAGCTATCAATATAGCGTTGCCAATTGGCAACAGTGTTTCCAACCTAACCAAACAGAAGTTAAGAGTCGCCACGAGATGGCACAACCTGTCAACTAAATGCCACGCCACCTGTCAGTGGTGCGACTCTGCTTGCGACACGGCTATCCAAGATGGCGGCTATCGTTTACGATGGATAATCCTGTGCAGTGGCTTGAGCCTGATTTGAACGGAAAAAACGGGGAAGTGGGGGGGAAATTACATGCGTGTTAAAACCTGCGCAGTGGTCGTAAGCCGTACAACCTAAAGCCTGAAGATATGAAGAGCTGAAGGCGGGGGGGGGAGAGTAGGCTGAAGTAGAATAACATGGGGGAGTAGGGGGAATTACATTCGTTGAAGAGAAAAATTAGCAAAGTGGCTAAAAGGATCTTAGGTAGACAAACGGAAAGACAGAGAGAGACAGACGGATATACAGAAAAATAGAAGGAGGAAGAAGGAGATAAAGTCATAAGACATTTTCGGAAACTTACTCGGATCAGAAAGATTATGTTAATTAGTTTTTATCACTTTACAATTTTTACTTACCATGAATAACTTTATCTAGATAATGCATTTCCATAACAGCATCATATGTCACTTCATCATTATGCTTCTTCAAGACCGTCACAATTTCTTCTCTTAATTTCTCCTGGATATCTTCGTTCAATGCCAGTTCCAAAAGAGCGAATGTCATTGTTGTTGCAGATGTTTCGAATCCAGCCAAAAAAAATACGAAACACTGAGCAACGATTTCATTAATTGTAAGAAAATTTTCTTTCTTTTTATTTTCATTATCAACGAAAATATTTTCGTCGTCAGTAACTTCTCCTCTATTTTTAAGCTGCAGTAATAAATGTAAAATATCTTTACGATAAATATTATTTGTTTCTCTATAATTAACAGTACTTTTTACTACATTCATAAAAAAATCTTCCAGATCTTGAGGTGTATTCTTTTGTTTGATACCTAATTTCGAGAGATTCTTTCTGGATACGAATATTTCCAATAACCTTTTGTAACCTCTATTAGGCAATTCAAATATCTTTTTACCGTACTTTCTGAAATCCGAATCTGGGTTTTTTAGGCTGTTGCAGTCGATGCCAAACGCAACAGAGCCTATAATGTCTGTTGTGAATCTTCCAAGAACGTCTTTTATATCTACAGTGCTTTGAAATTTGGCGTGGTCTTGGAGAATATCTTTTAAACCTTCGGTACAAGCGACCATGGTGGAGAACATCATCTTCATTTTACCTAAAAATCAAGATTTAATAAAATTAAAAGTAAATGTGAAATGTAAAGAAAATATATAGGCCAGGAAATATAGTAGATTTAATAGATATGTTGGTTCAATTCGATGTTTTGATGATCGTCTTTAATTTTGCTTCTGGACATCTGGCTTACATTTTTAGAGGTGTTTGTGACAAAAAATTCTTGTCCAGGCTTCATGTAAAGAATATTTGTTACTCAAATCTCGTGAGACTAAATGAGAGTCATGGAGTGATTTTTTTTTTAGAATATTACTAGTCATTGATCTACCAATTTTTGTAGATTTTTATATATTTTCAGATATTTTCCATAGATTTTTATTTATTTTTCATAGATTTTATAAATTTTTTTATACATTTTTCTAGATTTTTATAGATTTATAGATTTTTATAAATTTTTATAAATTTTTATAAATTTTTATAAATTTTTATAGATTTTATAGATTTTTATAGATGTTTATAAATTTTTATAGATTTTTATAATTTTTTATACTTTTTATAGATTTTTATAGATTTTTTATAGATTTTTATAGATTTTTAAGGATTTTTATAGAATTTTATAGATTTTTATAAATTTTTATAGATTTTTATAAATTTTTATAGATTTTTATACTTTTTTATACTTTTTATAGATTTTTATAGATTTTTATAGATTTTTATAGATTTTTATAGATTTTTATAGATTTTAATAGATTTTTATAGATTTTTATAGATTTTTATAGATTTTTATAGATTATTATAGATTTTTATAGATTTTTTATAGATTTTTATAGATTTTTTATAGATTTTTATAGATTTTTTATAGATTTTTATAAATTTTTAAAGATTTTTATACTTTTTATAGATTTTTATAGGTTTTTAGAGTCTACAATTAATTAACTATTATTATTAGGTAACACTTTATATATTCCTTACCTGATGTAAATGTTGGAGTTAACTTAACCCTCAGTTTTTTCCATTTTTCGCCTTCCAAATTAAACAAATGTGCCCCCAGTGGATCAAGTTCGTCATCATTAAATATCCCTCGATTGATAAAAGAACTGAAATCCTTCTGTAAAATATTTTTCACTATCTGAATATCTATCGGTATGTAAGTCGGCATGTGAGCCAAATAAACACCACCATGTTTTTGTCCTCTAACTTTAAAGTGTTTATAAAAATTTTCAAACAGATCTCCAATCGGTATTTGGCGTTTGAATAAAAGTCTAGAGTTGCCATAAGGAATTTCTGGTTCTATGTAATTCAGACCTTTTCTCTTCCAGTAAGTGTATTTCCATTTAATCACAGCATATAGTACCAATGGTAGTACAATTACAATTATTGCTGTTAATATCAGCATTTTCAAATAGGTACTGTTGTGTATCTGTATTATCCTCTCTATAATTTATATAATAACATTTTAGTACAAACAAACTCGATAAGGTTCGTTATCTATTCAAAACAATAAAAAGACAATCAACGTTATTTAGAATATTTTCTAAAATTGGATACTATAAATTAAAAGGAAATCGTAAAATTTACCTGTAATCACAATATTTAAATGTGTCTTGTATCATTTTATTATTCAAATCAACAGAAGATCAGTCAGCTCACTCACACTTCATGTTATTTATTCGAAAATTGTTATGTATGATATGATGATTGCTTATACCTCGACTTTGCCCAGAACAATTTAACGAATTTTTAAGTCAGCTAGAGTGCTGCTATTAAATTTATACGTGGTGGACCCATCTAGAAGCGGCTGGCAATTTAAAAAGGCTGTTCAAAATTTTTAGTTCGTAGCTCTTTAAAGGAATAAAAAATATAATTTAAATAATGTATACAATATTAATATCTACCCATCTCTAGCCAGAGATTAATAAACCTTTTCTAATTAGAAATATATTGTAAATCCCAAAAGCAATTTTTAATTGTTTGTTCAATACCTTCTTTTGGAAATGATAACAAAATGATTAGAGGTGAAAATGATATTATTTGTAAAAATGCAGTTTGATCTTGAGTTATCGATTATCAAAGGAGAAATGTTGGTTATTATTTAAGTAAAGTCATACATAGTTGAGGTAAAGTACCTAAATAAATGTCTATAGGGCTATTGTGTGCTATGTGGAAACTGGAAATGTACCCAAACTAATACCACAATGGTTAAACTAGCTCAATCCCAACTTAAACACCTTCTGCAACAGTTTTAATCGATGAAAGTGTTGGAGAAAAATACACAAAAATCAAAATACATTTATTATATATACAAGATTTATTTCGGAATAAAATCAAAAATGATTCAAATATTGATTCTATTCCAATTTAGTAACGTTTAACCAAACACCTCCTTCAACTGCTGTAACAAAAGCTTTTGTCGTGTATCTAATCGGAACTGGAGTTTTAGCATTTAAAGTTACTTTGAAATTCTTGATTATAGATACCAACCCAACTTTTGCTTGCAGCATTCCAAATCTAGAACCTGAAATTAAAAAAATATATACATATTCGTATATAATTAAATAGAGAGTTGAAGTATTTCCAGTACGTTAACGTAAACGTGAACGTCAACGCAGAAATATGACATGACATTTACGTGTCATGACAGATAATGACAATTAACATCAGGATTTCTTCTTTCCCAATTAAAAAGAGGTTATTTTGTTTGCGTTGCGTACATACGCCAGAGTCCGTAAGCTTATGTATGCACGTAGACGTAAACGTGAAGGATATTTAAATACGCATGCGTAGACGTCAATTTTCACGTATACCTTTACGTTCATGGCATTACTTCAACTCTCTAATAGAAAATACAATACCAATACAAATCCTTGGCCCTTCTCCAAAAGGTATAAAAGCAAATGGATGCCTCTTTGCTTTGTTCTCTTCACTAAACCGTTCTGGATCAAATTTTTCCGGATCAGGATAATGTTCAGGATCTCTTTGAATTGCTTGGAATGGAATATGCACTCTGGTACCAACTTCTAAAGTTACATTCGTATTTGGAATGGTGTATGGTTTGTTGCACACACGTGGGGCTCCTGGTATTGGAGGATGTTTTCGCAAAGTTTCTAAAAAATAAAATAAAACACTAGGTTAAACAAATGTACAGTTTTATGGAATTTAATGTAATTTATTAAAATTTAATGGAATTTAATGGAGTTTGGTACAATTTGGTATAATTTGATAGAATTTTATAGAGTTTGATAGAATTTGATAGAATTTGATTGAATTTGTTAGAATTTGATAGAATTTGATAGAATATGATAGAATTTGATAGAATAGGGTACAATTTAATAGAATTTAATAGAATTTAATAGAATTTAATAGAATTTAATAGAATTTAATAGAATTTAATAGAATTTAATAGAATTTAATAGAATTTAATAGAATTTAATAGAATTTAATAGAATTTAATAGAATTTAATAGAATTTAATAGAATTTAATACGAATTAATGCTAGCTTGTGACAGCTCGTGCCACAAACTTCTGCTCTCATAGAATAAGTATTATTGTTTTATCATCACTAATATATAATTGTAAGTAACTAGGTATTTGATTCCGTAATATTGAAACCTTCAAAATGTGTCAAATTAAGTTGAATCTTTATTGAGGTTATTATTTTCAAGAACATCTTCGCAAACATTATGTTCAATTTCTTCAATTTTTTGAATAATAATAATTCAAAGCTGTTCAGGTGTTGGAGGGTTATTAACATAAACTTTTCCCTCCAAAAGGCCCCACAAAAAGTAATCCAATGGTGTAAGGTCGCACGACCTAGGCGGATAATTAACCTTAGCTCTTCGAGAAATTATTCGAATGCCACATGTTCTGGACATTCATATCTTCTAATTTGTTCCACAAATAATCTCGTAATAATTGTCCTGTATCACGCTCCAGTCACAGTTATCGGATCACCAGCTTCATTCTGGATCAATAACGCCACTAGACCAAGAACCACACCATACATTTTCCAATATTTCTCTTGGATTTTCTTCACCCCATATTCTGCTGTTGAACTCTTCATAAAACTCTCAATAACTTTACCAGATGGTGCTAAATTTCTTCCGAAATGCGTAAGGCATCTTCTTACAAGTTTCAGCAGAACATTCTCCATTTTCGTAATAAGTTGTTCCATATTGACCAAAAAACAAGCATCCGCAGTTTTTACTTGACATATGTCACCATAGAAACACGTCAATGAAGATGAATAAAAATGGCGGTCAGTTTAAATCGAAATGTCAAATTTGGACACCTTATACTTCCTGAGCAAAGTGTTGAACAATGCATAAGCCTCGAACTGTGGCAGATGGATTATATGCAGACAACGCACTGTCGTTTGTGTAACCGCGCGGATACCATTGCGTTGTTTACACTTACTATATGTCAATATATATCTTTATATCTACAATAAAATTATTTGTTTAATGTTTGGCCCAAGAAAAGATTTCAATAAAAACTAGTAAATAAATACATACATACCATGAACAACTTTGTCTAAGTACGTCATATCCATCACAGCTTCGTACGTTATATTATTTCCATACTTCTTCAAAACAGATTCTATTTCTTTCCTTAATTTATCCTGAATATCAAGATTCAGGGCTAATTCTAAAAGAGCAAACGTCATAGTCGTGGCCGACGTTTCGAAACCTGCTACGAAAAACACGAAACATTGTGCAGCTACTTCATTAAGGGTGAGAAAATGGCCGTCTTTGTTTCTTTCTTCTTTAACAATGATTTGTTCGTCGTCAACAACGGTTCCTCTATTCTTTAATTGTAATAACAGATGCATGAAGTCTTTTCTATATACGTTATTTTTTTCTCTATAATTTACAGTGCTTTCTACTACTCCCATGAAAAACTCTTCTACTTCGGGATTTGTTTGCTTATATTTGAATTTTATTAAAATATGTCTTGGTACTAGTGTACTAAAGATGTTTCTCAAACGTCTTATAGTGCTCTGTTCGAAAATTTTCTTCGCGAACTGTCTAAATTCAGAATTGGGGTTTTTTAAACTGTTGCAATCGATACCGAAAGCTACAGATCCTATTACATCAGTGGTAAATCTAGATGCTACATCTTTTATATCTATACCGTCTTGCAGCCTTGAGTATTCTTCCAAGATGTGTTCCAAGCCCTCTGTGCACTCGACCATAGTGGAGAACATCATTTTCATTTTACCTAAAAAAATATAGAGATGAAAGGTGAGGATGTGACTATTAAGGGCTTACGTAGGAAGATGGTTGATTCAATTATTATTGGTTGCAAAAGTTACTTCATCATCAAGAACACCTAAATGGATTATTATCTGACTGAAGGTGTTGGAAGTTTATTTTGTATAAGTAAATTAAAGCAATGACGCTCAGATCAGACATTAATGTTAACTACCGTATAAGTTAGTAGAGGTAGTGGATTATCTTATGAACGATGCAACACTGCACGAGTTTACTGACAAACTGTGTAGATGTAGGAACGGGTGCAAATGAAACTACGCTTGCAAACAATGCTCTTATTTTCTTATTAAATTGTGTAAATGGAAGCTGGAAAATTCCAGTAGGATATTTTTTAACTTCAAGTATGACAGGTGAACAGAAAAAGGGGCTGGTATTAGAATGCTTAAAGAAATGTTATGAAGTAGGTGTTAGTGTTGTAAGTTTAACATTTGATGGTGCTTCTAATAATCTAACAATGGCCAAACTCTTGGGCTGTAATTTACATCATACAACTTTAAAAACTAGTTTCAAGCATTCATCAAATAATGAAGAAATTATTATATTTTTAGATCCGCCACATATGCTAAAGTTAATTAGAAATACTTTAGCAGAAGAAAAGTATTCATTTGTAAATGAAGAAAATAAAATTGCTGAGTGGAAGTATTTCAAACAACTTCACGAATTACAGGAAAATGCATCTTTCCACTTAGCAAATAAGCTAAACTCGCAACATATAGCTTTTAAAAAACAAAAAATGAAAGTTCGTCTTGCAACTCAACTATTTAGCGAAAGCGTCGCAACTGCCTTAGATTTTTGTGCGAACGTTCTACATATTGAAGATTTTAAAAATGCTGGGGCGACAATTAATTTTATTAGAAAAATGAACATTCTGTTTGACATCCTGAATTCACAAAATCTTTTGCAATTCAATTATAAGAAACCTCTATCTGAAAATAATTACAATAATACATGTATTTTTCTTAACTCTGTCGATAAATATATTAGTTCTTTAAGAACATATGCTGATGGTAAACTTCTATTAGAAACTGATAGATCCACTGGCTTTCTAGGTTTAAAAATATGCATTGCAAGCCTAAAATTACTATACAATAATTTAATTGTAGAAAATAAGATTTTAAAATTTTTGCCTTTGTACAAAATTTCACAAGACAATTTAGAATTATTTTTTTGTTCAATACGGTCTCATGGAGGTTTTAACAATAATCTTACAGTCAGGCAATTTCAGTCTGCATATAAAAAAGTTTTAGTTCATGTTGAATTAAGAGATAGTTTCCGTGGAAATTGTATTCCTTTGGAGGAATTAACTATTTTAAAGTGCAATATAACAAGCCAGTTAAATGTTATTTCAAAGGAATATGCAATGTCTGATAATATTGACGATTTTGAGAAAGTGAATGTTATTGAAAATGATCATGATTATTTACCAGATCCATTCTCCTCCTTTTCTAAATATATAATCACTTTTCTGGATTTCTGGATATGTTGTTTATTATTTAAAAAAGAAAATCATTTGTGAACAATGTATAGATGCTTTAATAAGTAAAACTAGAGATTTGTTTCTATTTTCATTCATTGATATAAAGAATAAAAATGGTTTGCAATTAACATCGGAAGATGTAATAAACATTTGTTTAAAATGTGAAAAAATATTAAAAATTATGAAAGACTCTAAGAAAAAAAAAATCAGTTGATATCATCAGCACATTAGTTTTAAAAGAATTAATAAATTCTAATGTCTTTTCGAATATTATGCAGCACAGTTTGGACCAGTTTGTGTTGGATAATCATAGAATATTATTAATCAAGTGCATAGTTGATAAATATGTTAGTATCCGACTAACATATCTCACTAAATAGAGTTAATAAAGCTGCTAGCATAAGACATCAAAACAACAAAATAGTGTTGTTTAAAGGTCAATAAATATTTTTTTTCAAATAATAAAAAAAATTCTGTAGTGTTTTATTAAGAATGGGACACAGAAACACTGAAGAGTTACCTATAATTTTACCAAATTTGGCAAAAGTTTTTGGTGTCATATAAGATACGTTACACTTATTTGAACTATAATTATATATTTTTTGATGTTTTTTAAGTAAATCATATAGGTACTTTTGTTGGGAACTTATAAGAAAGCATAGTCTTATTTTTAATCAGACTCTTTAGTTGTTCTGTATCCCTTTCTCAATGAGACACCTTGTATATAAACTTCCCACTTGAACAATTTTATATTTTTCAAGTATGTACAATACAGGTGTATCAGAAATTAAAGCAAATAGACAACTTATAACCAAGGTTTAAATTTAGTAATGTCAAGTCATCCTTGCACCCTAAAAAAGTACCAATGAAGAAATTATTCATCCAATGCAACCAAACAGTTATTTTTAGGATAAGATTTTGTGTCAAATGTTATCCACAACCACAGGGTTTCTTTTTAAATGGCATGACATTCAAAATTTTGGTCAAAACAATTTTCATCATGCACTTTTCTTGGAAATTTACAATGCTTTATTAGGATTAAAAACACTAGTTTCTAGAAACTTTTTCACTATAACACTAACATTACTGATCAGAAAAAGTGGTTAAAGTTTTCTTTTTGTAATCACAAATCGCAACTGAATGCCTATTTTTAAAATAAATTATCTCTATAATTCCATTTTTATAGTTGTATGCTGTGCATCTGTGAGATTGTTGTTTATTATACATAGGTACCAATTATAGAAATCTTTAGTAAGTACTTGCTTGCAATTTTAGTAATATATGTACCTACCCCACATAATTAATTATTTCGAACATAAATAAAACCAACAACTATTATTTGAGTCTTTTTAGTTCCGATTGGATTTGACAGAGTAGTTTTGATCATGGTTTTCTTCCATCTACTTTTAATCATAAAATCATACCTAGCTGAATTTTTGGTCTTTTTAAACTTTTGACTGTAGCGGGTCATATTTTTAATGTATGTCATCTGCAGCAGAAAGACCTACATGTTTTACATTTAAAAGTAATTAATTGTCCTTTCTGCAAACTCGGCTGTATTTTTACTGAAATATATTTATTCACAATTCACGTAGTGGTTTGGTTTTTGGTTTGGTAATTTGATGTCATAATTCTCCTCATTGTCAGATTTTGACATTGGCAGCTTTGATCAAGATAAGAGAGTCCTTGAACGAAAAATCGTAGTTCGGGTTTTAGTTTTAAAGCACAAAGAGATTAACAAATCGGATGCACAGTGTTATTCGAACGTTGATTTTCGATCACACAGGTCATATATTGGACGGTTTCGGCGAAGACAGAACAATATAATAATATTAATCTCTTTTATGGTCTTGGCATTGGCTTGGTCGGAAAATGGTTAATAAATAATAGTAAATAGTGTAGAAGTCATAATTGCGCAATGTCATCAAATTAATTTCGAATCGATCATGTTGAAACAAATCTTAGGTAAGTAAGTCATTTAAAAGTTGTAATTCTGCATACGGACTTTAATTATATTTGAATACGACCCTGCTTAGTCAACCATTTAAGCCACGCCCAGTGGGGTAATTTTTAATAAAACGTATCATATGCAAAACAATTGCCTCATGGCATCTCCATTAGTATTATAGCTCCATGGGTTCCACTGACAATTAAAGTGACAGTAGATTTTTTGAGTGCGTTTTGTTCGTTTTTTTTTTTACCTGAATTATATCGTTTCTTCACTTTTATAATTACATTCCTAAAGTAAGTAGATAACATGCATCAAATATACAATCGATTAGTTACCAACATACATTTAAACTATTTTTTATGACCTGTGAACAATATTTAGAAATAAACTAAAAACAGTAAAAACGTACATGTCATATTTATTTATGTTTTTGCTAAAAGTTTGGTTAGAATTAAATGTCAGTGGAACCAAAATGACATCACACCGAAATAGCGTATTGGGTTTCTATACTACTATTTCTATGTATACAATATTATGTAAAATTTTTATAAAAAATTATAATAGTCAAAGATTGAGGCTTGTATTTCAAATTACCTACATTCTATCAGAATCATAAATTTAAATGTCAGATTATTACAACCGCCTGTTCACCTACCTACACAGCCACACTTTATTTACAAAAATGTAAACAGCATATATTTTTAAAAATAAAAAACATACCTGACGTAAATGTTGGCGTTAATTTCGCTCTAAGTTTTCTCCATTTTTCATCTTCCAGGTTAAATAAATGCCCCGTAAGAGGATCAACTTCCTCGTTAAAAAACATCCCATGATTCACGAAATAACTGAAATCCCTTTGCAAAATATTCTTCACGATATCCAAATCTATCGGCATATACGTAGGACGTTGCATCAAAAATACTCCACCATGTTTCAGTCCTCTTGATTTTAGTTGGTTGTATAATTTAACGAATTGATCCCCGAAAGACAAGCTCCTAGTCAGGAATTCCTTTGTGTTTCCGTATATTAATTCTGGTTCTAGATATGCCAGTCCCATTCGCTTCCAGTAGGAATAATTCCATTTTAGGTATAAATAAATTAATAAAATTATTAAAATTGTAGATACGAGAAACATTTTAACGTCGCACTTTCACAGTCTAAAAGTAGAAAATTATTTATCTAATGCTTTAGATTGTGATTCTGAATTTACATTGTGAATCAGTGAGTAAATATACGTTATATTGATAATAATAATAATTTATTGCATTAATATAATATGAACATTGTTTTCTATATAGTAATGCATTTACCAGATAATAGATAATAGACACTATCACTATGGTGTATGAAATATAACTAGAGTTTTAATAAAATGCTTTCGGGTAATGACTGACACAGAGAAAGTACGCCATTTGCAGGATATTTTAATTATCTCGCACATGTACGAGGGTTATTGGATAAGTTAGATACCGAAATGAAATTGAAAGAACAGCTTAAGTACTGGGTTCACTAAATTATGGGTCAAAAAATATTTAATAAATACAAACTGATTTTTAACCATTGTTTTTTTTTTTATTGCAAATAATGTTATAATTTTAAATTGTACTTACATTTACAAATTTTATAACATACTGATTAAACGTTTTCATATTTTGCTTTAATTATTGCAAACGGAATTATAGTAATTTTTGATTTCACTATTACTATATACAGTTATTATTGATTACTGCTAGGTACAATTCGTAAGACGATCTTCAAAATGCAGTGATGCAACGAGTGAAACTTTTTAAGTAGGAAATTCAATTAATTATCCAGCCACTTAAGTACTTAAGAGAGAAACCTTGTATTCACGATACAGTGGATGTTTAATTTGTTGTTGAACTAGAACTAGAGATTTTGCCAAAGATTTTACAGCAAAAGCAGTAAATCGAATTTTTAGATTCAGAATAGATTAACCACCTCCTTTTAGTTTTTCGCCGTTTGGAAGTTGACGGTGATAATAATTTTTAGAAAACTTACGCCCACCTTCACTTATTTGAAAGTTCTCAAGAATTACTTGAGAGGGTCCTTTTTCAACTAAAGTTCTTGCAGAGTCAGCAGTTATAATGTCTGGCCATTCCCCAGGATCTTCAGATAACATTGATAACAAAATATCTTCGTCTTCGTCCAAATTCATTTGCTTGGTAACTTCCGAATTTGATTCAATGTCGTCATTGTCGTCACTTTTGGTCATTTGAGTTTCATCTTCAGTCTCCTCCGTAAAACACGTTGACGTAAAACCAGATCTTTCGTTTACCTCAGTGGAACCTCAGTATTCCACTGCTTCCAGCTTCATTAGAAATAATAGCTTCAGAACTCGTCCCAGCAGTACATTGTGAAATATCCCCCTGTCCCTGTCCTTGCAGATATTTTTTTAAAGAATCTGCCAATTTTAGGAATTTTTCCTTCTTCTGTAGTTTGTGTTTCCGATATTGATAAGCAGATAATCGTTTCGATTTTCTGTCCTAAAATTCAAAATCTATAAGTTAGAATAGGTATTTCAAATTTAAATTTTAGAATTTTTTCATTAAACAGAGTGGGGCACCACATACGACACTGTCTCTGTACGGCAAACGCCTTAAGATATAACATATCTATCTTAATATGGTATACATGTCATTTAACACTACGTCTTAAAATTATTTTGAAATATACAGTTACTATTTTTTAAATGGAACACCCTATATATTTTCGTAATAACAAGAGTGTATCTGACTACCACTGGACGGGAGCAGAGGTGGGAAGGACAACCAGTTATTTTGGAACTTTTGAGGGTATTTAGACTTTAAAATACGTGGCCACACAGCGGGAAAAGGGGGTACTACCTATGATCATTGAGAACAATTACTCTTTATTTATTGATAGTTATAGATAATATGTATTTGAAATTATTGGCTATGACGTAGCGGTGTTTTTCTTATTGAAATAAGATTCTACTACCAACTATTTACAGGGAAAACGATTACCCTGTAAAATACTGTGCCTGTATAGCAATATAGAGGTCGATTTCATTTTCTTCTAACAAGTTCTCAGTGACGTCCGTGTTTATATGAACTTTGTTACTGGTCGAGTGTTTTTTCTGAACTCAAATTGATGGGAGCAAATTAAGTTATTTTTTTCTCTTATTAATCTTAATGATTTGAAATTAATTTCTCGTATACATATAACAAACTATTTCGAAACAAATATTTACAATTATAGTTCAAATTTCATGTAGATTTTTAAGATATGAATTATAAGAAGCTTAGAATAGTTTTATGGATTGGAAACAAGAACAATGCACTGATAATGAAAAAAAAGTAATACAAAGTTTTTCTATAAATACTGTTAATATCATAAAATAGTTGTTATATAATTTTAATTGTATGAGCAGACGTGGATAGTTAAAAATTGTTCAGCAAATTATTTGAGGTAAGCTAAAAATAACATACCAAATTCTATTTTTTTTAAATTGTTTGTTGACTGGTTTTTTTGTCGCACATGCAGTTAGAATTTTGATTAATACATAGAGAATTGTTTATTGGCCTATGGCTTAAAATCAAAATATATGTAACGTACAATATTTTAATTATTATAATTACTTCGCTTTGGACTCTTTTCATCTGCAATATAACAGTAAATCATTTGCTTTAATTTCTGGTCCCTTTCTTATTTGATTCAATTTTAAATCTAAAGTTCTTCGCCATTTCTTCTAACTTTTTCAGGATCTAGCTAGAGTGATCTTACCACTAAAATGCGAAAGAATGTTTTTTTTAACTTTGTCTATACAGATAGTGTCCCCGCGTCGCTGGATAGTCTGTATACCTATATCACTGATATCTTGCGAGCAAATCATGTCAAGTTATATTTTAGTTAATGTAATTTTGTTTTCATCAATTTTGTTCTCGTCTTTTTCGTAGCATTAATCATTTTCTTTTTCATTTCCAAGCTTATCCTAGAATCAAAAGAAGACATTGCTGCAAGTCTTTCTGTGAGGTACCAAAAATGTTAATACAGTAGCATTTGAAATCAAGCTTACTTTGTAAAATTTATTGATTTTTCTTTAATGTCACTTATTTTTCAGAATTTTAATTTTTTAGCATATATAAAACAAATCTATGGATCTCACCTATCCTTTCTTTATTTTATCCACGACAGTGGCGTTGCTGTATTTATATTCTAAATGGAAATTTTCATACTGGAAAATTAGAAATGTACACCATTTAGAACCGATATTCTTATATGGAAACTTAAAAGAAACATCAGGAAAAATAATCCATTTAAGCGAAAAAATGTCTAGACTTTACAAAGAAGTTAAAGCTAAAGGTGGTGCGTATGGTGGTTTCTACTCATACTGGACACCTGACTTCGTACCAGTTAACTTGAATTTAATCAAGGGTATTTTGCATAAAGATTTTACACACTTTAGAAATCATAAAAGTTATGTAAATGTAGAAAAAGACCCATTATCTGGACACTTGTTTAATTTGAGGGACGATAAATGGAAAAGTCTTCGATCTAAGCTTACTCCTACTTTTACGTCAGGTAAATTTCATTATTATAAATTTGAATTCTCGAATTTTTCACATTAAGACACGTGACATGAATGGGACAAATTTGTAGACCATTTTATCTACATCGGTGTAATCAAAGGCTTCTTTTTGTAAATATAGCATTTTGAAACTACTGGCTACTACAGCTAGTGCTAATGAAAAGACAAATCCTAATTACACCAACTATTTGCTGCATAACTAACGAGATCGATAATTTTTAGGCAAAATGAAGATGATGTTCCAAACAATTGTAGACTGTACAACTGGATTAGAAAATATACTAAAAGAATCAATCACTATTAACGACGCAGTTAACATTAAAGATATTTTATCTAGATTTACAATTGACGTTATCGGTTCTGTTGCTTTCGGTATAGAAATCAACAGTTTGAAAAATCCTAATTCAGATTTTGTAAAATATGGCAAAGCTACTTTTACGAACTCGTTCTCGAAAAGGATCAAATTAATGATATTTGCAGTATTTCCCAGATGTATTACAAATTTTATAAAATTAGTTCCACAAGAAGTTGAATCTTTTTATATAAATCTAGTCAAAGATACAGTTAATTATAGAGAAAAAAATAACGTGTACCGTAAAGATTTTATGCACTTATTAATTCAGTTGAAAAATATTGGTACAGTTACAGACGACGCAGAAGGACTATCTGTCCAACAAATAACCAACGAGGATCTAGGTTTGACAGTTAATGAAATGGCAGCGCAAGCGTTTGTATTTTATTTAGCTGGTTTTGAAACTTCTGCGACTACAATGACTTTTGCTCTTTTGGAATTATCGCAGAACAGCGATGTTCAAGACAAGCTTAGAGAAGAAATTAATAGTGTGCTTAAAAAACACGACAACAAAATTACTTACGAAGCTATTAATGAAATGGAATACTTAGAAAAAGTTGTATCAGGTAAAAATAATTATTATTTTGTTTAAATTTTTATAAAAAATACATTTCCAAGAAATCTTATAACAGGTTTCGTACATTTTGGGTACAATATCATGTGTACTTATTGCTATTAACAATTTTTTTCCAAAATGGCTTTTACGAAAGCATAAACAGGTCAAGACTAAGAGACATTAATTTGGAAAACGCATTACGTGTAGCAACATCACAGTCTTTCCAGGCCCGCGCCTAGCACATTTGGCGCCTTTGTGCAAATTTAAAATAATAAAATAATAAGAAATTAATACGCAAGTAAACAAATTGACAAATTATTCATGAATAATGGAAATGTTTCGACGTTTTAAACACACGTATTTTCAGTTATCTATACCTAATTTGTTTTATGATTGTAATCCAATACCAAAGGTGTTTTAGGTTCAAATTGTTTATTTATCAGAATGCCTATTTTTAGCTTTGTTTTATTGAATAAAAACTAAATAAATAATTTTTGAAACGTACTTTTAAATCAGATTAAAAATTTTTAATTTAATAAAACATTTCATTCTGGCCACATCCAAAAAAAATTACTCATGACTATTATAGAGCGTGAGCCATTAGAAGCATCAAACCTAAAAGACATTTACGGTGAAACTGAAAGTTGGTCATTTTATTTAAGCATAAATATCCATTTGAAATTATAAATAAAACATCCAAAAATTCACAATAAATATAGCAATTACCAAGGGCTGAACATCTAAAGGCGACGAGGGCATGTCACGTCACTTCTTCTAATTGGATGCGAGACGATGATGAGGACTCAAACTAAGAATGACATTATTGTTGACCTAGCCGATTTTTATATTAATCGATTAAAGTCAGTACGTGTCTAGTCCAGTGGTCGCCAATCTGTCGATTGCGAGCTACCGGTAGCTCGCGGAGGCAATTCTGGTAGCTCTCACAACGATTTTAATTTAAAAAATACAAACTGCAAAAATCAGAGAAGCTTACGAAAATTCCACAACAAAATCTAATTGTCATAATATTAAACATAAACAGCGGCATCGTTGCGGTGAGCGATCTGCCGCTGACGCCAACAAGCTAGAATCGGCTAGAACCGACCAGCCGGACCAGCGCGTTAGTGTTCGAGAACGATCAGAATTGCTTTGAACGGGATAAATACACACGGCGCGGCGTCATTGCGCTTAGTTTAAAACTGAACGCGTAACCAACGTCCAACGGTTGGGTTGGTAGAGAACAACAAAAAATAATATTATGGCAAGCAGTTGTAAGAAGGTAAAGATATACCACTTTCATTCAGAATGGGAAGAACAATACTTTTTTACAGAAGTTAAAGATAAAAATGTGTGTTTGTTATGTAATACTTCGGTCTCCGTTGCTAAAAAAGGAAATATTGAGAGACATCATAAAACTGTACATTCTAATTTTGAAAAATCATTCCCACTACATTCTGCCACCAGAAAGGAGAAACTGAAATAGTTAAAAAAGCAGTTAATTGGACAACAATCAATATTTTTAAGAACAGTCGACAAAAATAAGGCTGCAACTGAAGCATCGTACCGTGTGTCCCAGATAATTGCACAAAAAAGGAACTTTATGACAACGGGGAAATGATAAGACAGGCGTTTTTAGAAGCTGCTGATTCGTTATTTACCAACTTTAGAAATAAAGACGAGATAGTTTCAGCTATAAAATCTATGCAACTTTCTGCTAATACAGTGATGAGACGTGTAGAAGTAATGAGCAATGATATTTTTTTACAGTTAAGAACTGACTTAGATAACTGTGTTTATTTTTCACTTCAACTGGATGAATCAACAGATGTCGTTGACACTGTCCAGATGGCCGTGTTCGTCAGGATGGTTTTTAGTGATTTTACGATTAAAGAAGATCTTTTGAAGTTTATTCCACTGAAAGGACACACTACTGGACAGGAGTTGTTTTCTCATTTAAAAAAATATTATTTCTTCCGAGAAAATTCCAATATCGAAAATGGTAGGCTTGACAACCGATGGCCAGCTATGGTGGGTTGTGATAAGGGTCTAGTGGCGTTATGTCGTAAAGTTGAAACTTTTCCGCAATTTCTCTGTTACCACTGCATTATCCATCTGCAAGTATTATGTGGAAATTTTCTGAAACTAAACAACGTTATGAAACTGTAAAAATTGTGAACAAGATTAGAGCTCAAGCGTTACAAAGAAGATTATTCAAAAACTTGGCCGATGAAGTTGACTGTCAATACGGGGACCTACTCCTTCACTCTGAAGTCCGATGGTTAAGTAGAGGACGGGTGCTGAAACGTTTTAATGATGTCCTATCTGGCATAGTTCAATTTTTCAAACAACGCGATGGACCGACTCCGGAATTAACAGCGATGCCAAGCATTTTCCTATTCTTTCAGAAAAAATATCTCAAAATCCATTAAGACCCTATGACAGCAAATATCATGTAGAAATAGTTTCTACCCTGAAGAATAACTTCAAAAATCGTTTTAAGGATTTCAACGAAATGGCTTTAGTAGCGCAGTTTGTTGTTTCACTCTTTATGGAAATTGATATTCAACAGTTTTCAACTTGTGTTATGCAGAACTTTGGCGAAGACATCGCTGCAACAGAAATGGAAGTAATTGAGTTTCAAAATGATTTAGCCTTAAAATCGTTAGTCTCAAGTACCAAATGTATTTGGCCTATTGTAAGTAAAGACAAATATTCAGTTCTATGCCGTGTTGCCTTGAAAGTGAAAGCATTATTCAGTTCAACCTATTTGTGTGAATCTTCTTTTTCCAATATGAAGTTTATTAAGAACAAATATCGCAATCGACTTACAGATGAACATTTGGATAATTGTATTCGAATGGCTGTATCAAATTATACTGCAAACATTAAAAAAAATTATCGATGAGTCTGAGTGTCAGCCTTCTCATTGAACGTGCTTTTTTATTTTTCAATGTTTATGTTCATGATAGTGCGTTACTTTTTTGTTGTTATTATGAACTATTTTTAAATCTTACGTGACATGCCGTTGTGGCTGGATAAAAGTTTGTGTTTATTTTTCCAACACCTTTGTTTGGTAGGAAGGAATGTAGCTATGAACAAGTACGTACTAGTAATATTAGTTATTTATTAGTACCTATGTATTATGTATTACCAGTTAAATAGTAAAATAAATACATATAATGATAAATTAACTGTGAATTATTTCATTTACGTTGCGTTACGTGGCTTCCGTGTGGGTAGCTCGCTGTTTATTCCAAAATTAACAAAGTAGCTCAACACATTGAGAGGTTGGCGACCACTGGTCTAGTCTAATGTTATATTTACATTTATCGAAGATGAAGTTATGAATAGAATCTACTGTTTATCAAAATATTATGCTGAATTATTTAATATTAAAATAGAAAATGTATATTTTATGTATAGGGTGTGATATTTGTTTATCGTGACAATATGTCTTGTATGCTTGTTCAAAATTTGATCCAAATTGCTTAATAAATAAAGGAAATATTCATCTCGCCTTAGTCTCATTATCACCATTGCCTTGACCACTCTTCTGTTTATGCATATTTAGTATTATACGATAAAAAAAGATGCATTTAATATGAATATATAGAAAGGTCTATTTTTCAACAAGCAGAAAATATTTACATTTTTATTTCTTTTTCATTATTGTAGAAACATTAAGGAAACATCCCCCAATAAGCTTGTTACCCAGAGTTTGTAATAAGGATTATGAAATAGAAAATAGTGATTTAGTGATAAAGTCTGGAACAAGTGTCATTATTCCAATAATATCAATTCAAAGAGATCCTGAATATTATCCTGATCCGGAAAAATTTGATCCAGAAAGGTTTAGTAAAGAAAATATATCCAGCAGACCGGCGTTTACTTATATGCCTTTTGGAGAAGGACCTCGGACATGTATAGGTAATTTCGTAAGAATAAAAACTGGTATTTGAAGGCAAAATATATATTTATATAGTTCCAAAAAGGTTAGTCAAAAATCACCCTATTTGACCTTGCAAGTCCTTTTCTTTAAGATATTGAAAGTAGTATTTGTACCCACCTTATGCTAGAAAATAAATATATTTTTATATTAGACTATTTTCTCCTATTACTAGAATCTAGAATTAATTTGTTTCCACCAGACAATTAAAAACTATGATTTTACTGATTTTGATATGCAACATAGCATCAAAATTTCAAATAAAACCGTTATAAAAGTTTTTGTAATAGTGCTTCCATTTTGTGTTTATTACTGTTCGTAATTATTAAGATTCTGTTTTAATAATTTTTTTAAACATTCTTTTAGCCTTTATAAATGCCAAATTGTTACTGAGATGAAAATAAATTAATGTTTGTTTTGTTTTAGGTTTAAGATTTGGAATACTACAAACGAAAGTTGGTTTGTGTTCAGTATTGAAAAACTGCAGAGTATCCTTAAATAAAAAAACGATCGTTCCAATTGAATATGATTTTGGTAGCGTTTTAACAGTTAAAGGTGGAGTTTGGTTGAATTTGGAATATTTAAATTAAATAAATCGATTACTTACACTTCAAGTTGTGGTTTGGTCAAAGGTAACCTTTGGTTTTGTAAAAGTTGTTCAGTCTGAAGTACTACACACATTTTGTACAATACAGATAAGATAATAAAGTACTACAGTAGATTACCAGTATTTCGATCCTCAAAAATTTTAAAACAGCAAGATTTTTTGAAATATCTAAATTTAAATATGTTTTGTTTTAAGAGGTGGTAATTTTGCAAAGGCTGTCTGGGACGTGAATCCAGTTGTGCAGGATTCTTCTTTTGGCGCCCTTGTGCAGATTTAAAATAACGCCATCTAATAAAGGTTTTAAAGTAAAATTTGTGATTTTAGATAAATTTGATTTCAAAATTGACCCGCGTTTAGTAGGAACTGAAAAAATTCAAACAGTTCTTGAACTAAAGTAAAAAAATTGATGCTCAAAGCAATGGCGGTGATAAGGCCCTCGCAAGCCCCGCGGCGTGGGGGGGAGGGCGGCCGAGTGGTGGTCCCACAAAGCCCTAATTAAGGGGCGGATTTTAGGGATTAGAAACCTCCCCGAAATTATTTATCAAATAATAAAGATCAGGAAATCCAACTGCAAAAGTAAAAAACTTAGAAAAAAGTAAAAACAATCTTTGAAATAAAAAAAAACTTAAATTAGACTTGCCAATAATTTTTTAATTTTGAAAAAGTGACAATTTGAAAAGCAACATTGCGATTAGCAAATTTTGCATTAGTAAGTTTTTTTTAACATTATTTTCTATATTTTTGCGTTATTTATATTTTTTAATTTTATGACGATAATAACAATTAGCAGTGACGGATCTAAAGGGGGGCCAGAGGGGCCCGGGCTCCTATCATTTCGTATGTTTTCTCTTTACGGTTGATTCACATTTATCTCCTTCTTATATTATGTATTGTATGAGTCTCTCCCCCCCCCCGCCCCCCAAATGTCTACACACGCTACTGATAATTAGTACTTATATTGTCACATAATTTTGCGGGGGGACCCAAATATTTACCGCCGCCACTGGCTCAAAGTATTCGATTTTGCGGCATCATTGACGACTAAATTTAGGCTATGATTGTAACAAGGAACAAAGAAATCCAAATCCAAATTTTTATTCAATGCGGCAAAAAGAATTGAAATCAAGTATTTTTTTGACTCAATGATGAATAATACACGAATAACATATTAAGTTAAACAATATATCTCCGTCTATGAGCGGTAAATTAAAGAGGTCAATTTGTTGATGTTTTTAGCTAGTTGACTTCCTGTTAAAAATTCGTTTTGTACACCAATTTTTTTTCGAGTACTTCAAGCAGTGGCCGATTTTTTTTGCATTTGCGGTATTCCTTTATAGTTGACTTATTGTTTAATACAACTTATATTGCCTAGATCATTTTATCTATTTATCTCTTTTTAACAAAATTCTTATATGACTAACTAAATTCGAGCCACACTTGGCGGTGATTGAGGGATAGTTCAAACCCATTTTGGCGGCCGCTTTGAAGTTTTTTTGTTGTCGGCGGTATACCTATATGGCGATACCGCTTTGAAACTGAGGATACAATTTTTTTCAACAAAAAATATGTTTTTTGTTTTCGGCATGTCATTAAACAATATTAATGTATATACCAGGTATCCCATATGTTTCTGGATAACTGTTAAAAGGAATAAAAGTGTTTTGCTTGATGAACCTCTTGTAAAACTACCCGCTAGAAACCACCATTATCATTTATGTTTCAAACCACGCCACTACACTGTTTTTTAATATGATACATTTTTCGCTTCATGTCAACGATATTATACGATGTATTGGTCAAATTTGTAAATAACAGACTTATTTAACCTGTTTCTAAGGGGTGCGTGGTTTGACAAGCGGTTGATTTAAACTACTGCCTACAAAAATAAGAAATTAAATTTGTAATACATAGTAAAATATTTCCTATGTTAAGTCAGCCTTTTTTTACCATTTTGACCATATAGATACAGCCTAAAAAAAGCAATATGATATATGACTGAACTGAGGGTGATACATTTGATCATATTAACAAAACAACATGAGCTTGAAATCGAAAAATGAATGCTAGGAATGGTTTTATTTTATTTAACACCCTTTGGACCCTCCGTAGTATTACCCCCAATCCATTTGTAGCGTGGTGTCACTGCAGCTTGCAGTTTATTGTACCACCATTTGAACGTCCCACTACTTTCTCGTTTAAAATTTCATTAATTTGTCTTAAAAAATAGCCGAGAAAATGAAGATGTTAAAAATTCTCCAAGTATTAAAGAAAAACGCTTTATTCAAAATAAGTACTTAAACAACAAATGTAAAGTACTTAATGATATTTTTGATCCCCTATTATTATTATTATTTTGTTGGAGCTCATGGATAACTTTTACTATGTCTATTTCATCATATGCTAAGATATCGGGCTTTTCAGGCCAACGTCAAGTAAACACCCCACTTTTTACCATGTGAGATATGATGATTTCTGTGTCTTTTACTTCCAATACTTTTCCAGGATACATTTCCATATTGTACCTAACAAGCACACAATCGCCCTCCACGATAGCCACGACATTTTCTGCATCCTCATCCGACATCAGTTCTATACAATCTTCTGAATCATCTTCACTACTTTCGTTCTCACTTTTAGTGTTCTTCGATTTTATATATATTTTTTTATATTTATTTAAAGTTTTTCTTTTTGGATAGAGTTCACTTTTTGAGCTATTTTCTTAGACTTTGTTTCTACTCAAGCTTTCTTTTTCTCCTCTTCCAGTTTTTTATTTTCCTCTTCTAGTTTCTTTTTCTGTAAATAGTCTGATGTTGTTATAATTTGTATCCCATTGCAGATATTTCTTCTCTTTTGTGGTGTCGGAGATTCCGATTTCTTTTTCATTTTTTAGTAGTTCAACCACCAGCCGTTCAAAGGGATTCAGACAAATATTGCTTTGGGTGTTTGAAGGTCCAGGTTTATCTTCAGGCATCAACTCCTGTTTACCTTGTTGCTCATTCACTATATTTGTTTGATGTTCTTTGTTAACTAAATCTTTCATTTGATGAATTGTTCCATTTTCTTCGTTTTCATTAATTTCTTGCTCTTTCGTTTCAATAATCACCTCGTTTTGTTTACCGTGGTGGAAAAAACAATGTAATTTCTTACTGCTTTTTTTTTAATTTCATAAATTTTGTTTTGACAATTTTGTTTGTTGCCTTATCTTTTTTTTACTTTTGTGTTTTAAGGTTTTTCGATGCTTCAGCGCCATCGTGCGCCACACGACTTTGCCCTTATGTACGACGCACGCCTGATTACTACTACTACTATAGATAATATAAAAAACATTGAATTAACTGTAATAATTATGCATTGTGTTTAGAGGTCGTCCAGTTTAAACGCATTTAGATAACCAACGACCTACAATAAAAATAATTGGTCCATTATATTATTTATCAACTGGTTTTGTTTGATAAAGAGATTGTAGACTTCGTAAGAATCTTTTCCTATAACAAACATCTCGCGTTTTATTTTGAACAATGAAGTACCTTTAAATGACTTAATAAAAAACAATGTACTGATTATGATAAAAATAATCTCATAGAATATGCTTCTACAAATATTTATACGTTAAATACATTAAATAATATAAAAGTGATGTGTAAGTTGGAAGTGTTTGGTTAAAAACTATTGTTCATATGAGTATAGAGTATTTGAGGTAAGTTAAAAATTATTATTACAATAAAATTGAACTACAAAAAAAATAAATAGACTTAAAATGTATTTTGTTGCCCAAACAAATAATATACTAGCCACAAGATAAATGCAAAGTCAAAATAACAGCTTCTATATCAAAATCCGTTTGAATAAATGAAAAGAACTACAAAAACTAAATAAAAAAAGTGTACCTTTTATTATTATGCGTATAATACCATTCAAATTTTGAAAAATTATTTGTGATGTAAATTCAATAAGTCAAAAATTGAATATCTACCTAAGTAATATAATTATTTAAATTACATTATGAAGATTATTTAATATTAACTCAATCTACAGTTATTTAATATTAATTGCATAATATACAAGGTTGGCGGAACACCTGATTTGCGCCACAATTATGGATTGTACTGAAAATAATTATATTTTTCGAATATTTTATGTCCAATCCTGTATATAAATCCTACGAGACTTCAAATATATTAACTTTTTCGGAATCCCAATGAAACTACGTTTTTAATAATTTTTCGAATTTTTTAGTGGAATGGTCTAAGAATATCTAGCTTATTAAAAATATGGATCTAACAAATTTAATCTACCTTATATCAGCTAGTGTCCTGATACTATATTTGTATTCAAAATGGAAATTTTCCTTCTGGAAAGACAGAAACGTCTACTATTTAGAACCAACATTCCTATTTGGAAATTTGGGTGAGTCGATGAGGAAAATAACTCCTACTGTCGCAGTAGTTTCAAGACTTTACAATGAAGTTAAAGCCAGAGGAGAAAAATACGGTGGTTTCTACGCGTTTTGGTCACCACAGCTAGTACCAGTTGATTTGGAATTGATTAGGTGCATTGTGCATAAAGATTTTGCACATTTTACGAACCATGGTTTTTATGTGAATGAGGAAAGGGATCCCTTATCCGGTCACTTGTTTAATTTGGAGGACGATAAATGGAGGAACCTGAGATCGAAGCTTACTCCTACATTTACGTCAGGTAAGTTTAATTTTGGAAAAAAAAAGTTCCCTTGCATTTTACTGTTACTAATTTATTTCAGTTTAACATTTTATTATTTTCTGTTATTGCTATAATCTTGTTCTTATTTATATTTATCGGTAGAAAAACCGTGTCGGTTGTGTTTTTATGTTCAGTATACAAAATTAAAATAAACAAAATTAAATTATACGAAAATGGAGTATTCACAATTGAAGTGTACCAGATTAAAGTATACGAAGTAGAAGTAAAGAAAATAATGTATACAAAATTAAAGTATTTAAAATTGTTGTATACAATATTGAAGTAAACTAAATTTAAGTATACAAAATTGATGTATTCAAAATTAAAGTATATAAAATTGAGGTATACAAATTTGAAGAAATCAAAATAAAATGTACAAAAATTAAGTAATCAAAATTGATGTATACAAAAATGAAGTTGTACAAAATTTAAGTATTCGAAGTTGACATATTTAAAATTGAAGTATTTAAAATTGAAGAACCCATGCAAAATGTAAGTATACAAAATTTAGTATATTAAATTAAAATATATCAAATTGAAGTTTACAAAATTCAAGTATACAAAATAGAGGTAAACAAAATAAAGTATACAAAATAAAAGTATACAAAAATTGAACTATAATATATCGAAGTAAATGTATGGATTGAAGTACATGAAATTTAAGTATACAAAATTAAATTATACAACATTGATGTATACTAAATTGATGTATACTAAATTGATGTATACTAAATTGATGTATACTAAATTGATGTATACTAAATTGATATATACTAAATTAATGTATACTAAATTGATGTATACCTATTAAATTAAACTATACTAAATTAAAATTAAAAAAAATGAAGTATGCAATATAAAGTATACAAAATTGAAGTAAACTAAATTGAAGCGAACAAAACTGATGTAAACAAAATTGAAGTATACGAAATTGATGTATTCAAAATTATTGTATACAAAATTTAAGTACACATAATTAAAGTATACAATATGAAGTATATAAAATTGAAGTATTCAAAATAGAGGTAAACAAAATAAAGTATACAAAATTAAATTATTCTAAATTTTTAAATACAAAATTGAAGTATTTAAGATTTAAGTATAGAAAATTGATCTATACAAATTTGTAGTATACATAATTGAAGTACATAAAATGAAGTATATTAAATTTAAGTACACAAAATTGAAGAAAACAATAATTAAAGTATACAAAATTGAAGTATTCAAAATTATTGTATACAAAATTGTAGTATACATAATTAAGGTACACAAAATGAAGTATATAAAATTGAAGTATACAAAAATAAAGTATTCAAAATTTAAAGTGTACGAAGCTAAAGTATCCAAAATTAAAATAATCAAAGTCAAAGTAAGCAAAGCTAAAACATATATAATTGAAGTATACAAACTTGAAAAATATACATTTAAAGCACAATTGAATTATAAAGGGTGTCCCATAATGTTTTGCTGTTTTTCAATTGAAATAAAACAAATGATTTTGCCTAAAATATATTACATTTAATGTGAAAATGTTATTAATAAACGCAGATTTTAATATCTTAAAAATAATATTCTCCAGATGTCTTCCTTCTCCTGTCACGCATTCTTGAAGTCTGGACCTTAAATTGTAATAAACAGCTCCTCTGGAATAAAGTTTTTGTCTGAATTCGCAATTTGAGGGCCCCCAGAGTGCCTGGAGGTGTTTTGTACACCTTGGACTTTAGATAGTCCTATAAAAAAATCCAGGGGAGTAAGTTCAGGTCTTCTTGGGGCCAACGTATGTCACCCCACTTTGAAAAATATCTAGTAGCTGTGGCACCATCTTGCTGAATCCAGGTATTGTTACTAAATAACCCGCAACCTTCCTCGACCTGGCAAATAAAGAGTCGTGGCGCTTATATTTAACATTGCCAAACTAGCGTTCTCTAAAAACAACAAAACATTATGGGACACCCTTTATATAACTGAATTGCACGTGCAAAATTTAAGTGTACAAAACTGAAGTACACAAAATTAAAATATCCAAATTGAAAGTATACAAAAATAAAAAATACAAAATAGAAGTAAACAAAACAAAGTATATGAAAATTAAGTATACAAAATTGATGTATACAAAACAGAAGTATACTAAAATAAAGTATTTTTAAAAAAATTAAAGAAATACTGACATTCATAATTTTTAGGTAAAATGAAGATGATGTTCCAAACAATGGTAGACTGCACAAATGGTTTGCAAGAAATGTTGAAAGAATCGGCTACTATTAATGACCCAATTAATATTAAAGATGTTCTATCTAGATTTACAACTGACGTTATCGGTTCTGTGGCTTTCGGTCTAGAAATCAACAGTATGAAAAATCCAGACTCGGATTTTTTAAAATACGGCAAAGCTATTTTCCATGCCACATTATGGAGAAGAATAATTTTCTTTGTATTAACAGTATTTCCCAGATGGCTAACTAAATCAGTTGGTGTTAAAGTATTCTCAAGAGATGTTGAATCCTTTTACATAAATCTAGTCAAAGATACAGTCAGATATAGAGAAACAAATAACATTTATCGTAAAGATTTCATGCACCTTTTAATTCAGTTGAAAAATATTGGTAGGGTTACAGATGACGCAGACGGTTTATCTGCCCAACAATCTATTAACAACGCTCAAGGTTTGACAATTAATGAAATGGCTGCCCAAGCATTTGTGTTCTTTATAGCTGGATTTGAAACGTCTGCTACAACAATGACTTTTGCTCTTTTGGAGTTGTCGCAAAACAATGACGTTCAAGATAAGGTTAGAGAGGAAATTAATCGTGTACTACAAAAACATGACAATAAAATTACTTATGAGGCTATTATGGAAATGGAGTATTTAGAGAAAGTTGTGTCAGGTAGAAAAAATAAATTTTATTTATAACTTTTATTGATTTTTATAGATTTTTAGAGATTTTATAGATTTTTAATATATTTTTTATAGATTTTTCATAGCTTTTTTATAAATTTTTCATAGATTTTTCATAAATTTTTCATAAATTTTCCATAGATTTTCTATAAATTTTTCATAGATTTTATAGATTTTTATAGACTTTAATAGATTTTCATAAATTTTTATAGATTTTTAAAGAGTTTTAAAATTTTTAGATATTTTTTTAAGTTTTTATAGACTTTCATAGATTTTTATAAATTTTGATAGATTTTTATAAATTTTAATAGATTTTTATTAATTTTTATAGATTTTATAATTTTTTCTAGGTTTTTGTAGATTTTTATAGTTTTGTATAGATTTTTCATAGATTTTTATAAATTTTAATAGATTTTTGTAGGTTTTTATAGATTATTATAAATTTTTATAGAATTTTAAAGATTTTTATAGATTTTTCATAGATTTTTAAAGATTTTTATAGATTTTCATAGATTTTCGTGGATTTTTATAGATTTTCATAGATTTTTATAGATTTTTGTAGGTTTTTACAAATTTTTATAGATTTTTTATGGATTTTTCATAGATTTTTATAAATCTTACAAAATTTTATATATTTTTCATAGATTTTTATAAATTTTGATAGATTTTTATAAATTTTGATAGATTTTTATAAATTTTAATAGATTTTTATAAATTTTAATAGATTTTTATCAATTTTTATAGATTTTATAATTTTTTCTAGGTTTTTGTAGGTTTTTATAGGTTTTTGTAGATTTTTATAGTTTTGTATAGATTTTTATAGATTTTTCATAAAATTTCATAGATTTTTATAGATTTTTTTATCGAATTTATATATTTTTCATAGATTTTTATAAATTTTAATAGGTTTTTATAGGTTTTTGTAGATTTTAATGGATTTTTCATAAATTTTTTTTTTTTTTTTTTTTTTTTTTTTATTTTATAAATTTTTCTAGATTTTTGTAGGTTTTTATACGTTATTCTAAATTTTTATATATTTTTATAAATTTTTCATAGATTTTTATAGATTTTTTCATGGATTATTATAAATTTTTATAGAATTTTAAAGATTTTAATTGAATTATATAGATTTTTATAAATTTTTATATATTATTCATAGATTTTTATAGGTTTTTGTAGATTTTAATGGATTTTTCATAAATTTTTTTTTTTTTTTTAGATTTTATAAATTTTTCTAGATTTTTGTAGGTTTTTATACGTTATTCTAAATTTTTATATATTTTTATAAATTTTTCATAGATTTTTATAGATTTTTTCATGGATTATTATAAGTTTTTATAGAATTTTAAAGATTTTAATTGAATTATATAGATTTTTATAAATTTTTATATATTATTAATAGATTTTTATAAATTTTAATAGATTTTTATAGGGTTTTGTAGATTTTTATAGATTTTTATAGATTTTTATAAATTTTTAATAGATTTTTTATAGATTTTTAATAGATTTTTATAGATTTTTATAAATAATTATTAAGATTTTTATAAATTTTTATAGACTTTCAATAATTAAAATTTTTTAATTTCTCATAATTCTAGAAACATTAAGGAAACATCCTCCTGTAAGCTTATTACCAAGAGTGTGTAATAAGGATTATAAAATAGAAAATAGTGATTTAGTGATAAAGTCTGGATTAAGAATCACTATTCCAGTCATATCAATTCACATGGATCCCGAATATTATCCGAATCCAGATAAATTTGATCCAGAACGATTTAGTGAAGAAAACAAAGCTAAAAGACCCGCGTTTACATTTATGCCTTTTGGAGAAGGACCTCGCACGTGCATTGGTTAGTATATAGTTGTAATTACTAGTCTGATATAGTGTAGTACAATATTTTTCTTACGACCACAAAATAATTTTATCAAAACAATACTAATCCAGGAAATCTAACTATAAAGGTTTCATCAAGATGAATATAAATATTTTGCGATGCAACATTCTGTTCTACGTAGCTCGTTCATTTTGTGTGACCTCGCTGCGCTCATCACACTTCTACACAAAATAATGTATTTTCCAACTGGTTACATAAATTGTTTTTACCTATTGTTTATTTTTTATTGACAGGAATAATTTTGTGATTAAATTAACAAACTGACTCTTTATTTTTAGGTTTAAGATTTGGAAAACTTCAAACCAAAGTTGGTTTGTGTTCAGTATTAAAAAACTACAAACTAACCTTAAACGAAAAAACTGAATCACCAATTAAATATGACTTTGGATTCATTTTGGCAGTTAGGAATGGAGTTTGGTTAAATTTGGAATCTTTACAATAAATTTTGTGATATAAAAACAATGTGTACTACTTATCAATATATATTTGATGAAATTTGTCTTATACAATTGTTGTTTTGTAACAATAGTATTTTTTTATTACGATAAACTTTTATTTTGGAGAAAACTACGTCGCTCAACAGCCCAAGCACAAATCTATGAATCAATAAAACTACTTTACTCTATAATACCACATTGGCTGGTAACAGATTATTCAAACACAGTATATCTAAAAATATTGAACTCCAACATTAACCAGGAAAGGAAAGCCCTATGAAAAGCTACTAAATTCAAACCAAAGTCCGAAGACTCAAAATGCAGACTTATTAATTAAATAATGTTATTTTATTTCATATTCTTACATTATAGAATTGTTTGTTATTCTATAATTGTAAACAGGAACATAAAAATGACAACCAAGTACCAATCCCAATTGATTAAAATACTAGATTGCATTTTTTTATAAAAATAAGCATTCAGAATACCAATCTTCACTTTTAAGTCTTATATTTTCGAACATTTTCTTAAATTCTTCAAATTCACAATTGAATCCACAATTTTTAACGCTAACTGGAATGGATTCCTCATCAGGCTTATAGTAAATATAAACAAAAAAATGATCGTCATCTTTCCATAGCTCAAAAGTAAGACTGCTTGCAAACGGTGGTACATGTGGATTATTCGTTTCTTGATAATAATGTAACGTACCTAAAAAACAAGCTATATTAATGTCGTGGCCGCTGAAAAGAATGGTTTTTGGTTCCTCTGTGCCTTCTATTATTTTTTCGAAATGTTCAATCAGTTCGTTTATGAACGGACCAACTCCTGAAATAAATAAGAAAAAAGTTATGGATTTTTATAGATTTTTTATAAATTTTTATACATTTTTATATATTTTTTATATTTTAATAGATTTTTATGGATTTTTATACATTTTTACAGATTTTTACAGATTTTTACAGATTTTTACAGATTTTTACAGATTTTTACAGATTTTTTACAGATTTTTACAGATTTTTATAAATGTTTATAGATTTTTATAAGTTTTTATATATTTTAGAGACCAACTCATGAATTAAATAAGAAAATAAAAGTTATAAAATTGATTTTAAAAACCGACTAGTGTGGATGACATTACAAAATTAGTTTTTTGATTATATCATAGATCCCATCATCAGATCTTTACCAAATTTTTATTGGATCACCATTGAAGTACTTCTTTTCTAACAAAAAAAAAATAACAAAAATCTGTCAAAGTGTTAAAGAATTATCTTTAAACATACATTACAAAATGAAGATTTTGATGATTTTATCATTGACGTCTTTATTAAATTTTAACCAAACGTGGTAAAAAAATATGAATTGAGAACCTCCTCCTCCTCCTTTTTTGAAGTCGGTTAAAAATTAACACACCAATTCCCATCGAAACTAGAAAATCCATTTGTACAACCCTAAAGTAATACCAAACCAAAGAAAAATGAAGTGAGCTGAATAGAAAAATGTTTCTTCATCTGGATCTTTCAGTATACTCTTCGTTACCTAACTAATTAGGCCACATTGGAGCATCTAGCTATAACGACCAAATTGGAAATTTGAAGACATCATATTCCGCATCAGATTCTACCTACTAAACTAGCGAATCTATTACATTCTAATTTATCAACTGGCGATGACCAGTCAGAATGCAGTCAAATGCAGATTCTTCCGAGTCATAGTCAATCATGTATTGGTTTGCTGTGATGTATTAGGGTAAGTTACAAGGTTGCAGCCTCTTGTTTTAACCCTTCTTTCCTTGAATTTTATAATGTCAGTCCAATAGAAGGGCTAGGTCCAAAAAATATTTGATTGGTTACATTCTAATCTATCCACTGGAATGACCAGTCAGAATGCTTGTGATCAAACGCAGATTCTTCCGAGTCATAGTCAATCATGTATTGGTTTGCTGTGGTGTGTCTGGGTAATTCACAAGATTCCTGGCAACATTGCAGCCTCTTATTTTAACCCTTCTTTCCTTCAATTTTATAATGTCAGTCCAATAGAAGGGCTAGGTCCAAAAAATATTTGATTGGTTACATTCTACTCTATCCACTGGCAGTGACCAGTCAGAATGCTTGTGATCAGACGCAGATTCTTCCGAGTCATAGTCAATCATGTATTGGTTTGCTGTGGTGTGTCTGGGTAATTTACAAGATTCCTGGCAACATTGCAGCCTCTTATTTTAACCTTTTTTTCCAATTAAACTTACCTAATTTTTGTTGTTCTTCATTATAACAAACAAAAGTACTCAAATTGTTGGAAGCTTCTGTTAATTTCTGAGGAAAAACAGCATTGGTCCACTCGGGTAAAGCAATTTTTACTGCATTTTCTATTTTAAGAGTATCCCAAACAAGGAAAGTCGAAACCAAACCAAATACCGGAAACTCCGAATGCTTTCTGACGTATTCATAGAGCTCCTTATTATTTTTGTTAATGTCTATAAGTTTTTGGTTCGTTCCTTCCAGTTTCAAATATTCAACATCGAATTTTGGACAGACAAATATGACGCTCATAACGGGCCATGTTGCTTTTTCTATTGTGATGTTCTGGTCTGTTTTCGAAAACAAACCGTCCAAAAAAGATTTAGCAGACTGGATATTCCTTTTTGAATTGCTGGATTTCACTGTAATTTGTTTTTCATTATATACTTCTCCAATGAAGGTGTCGTATCTTTGTCTAAAGAATGTTCCCAAGTTGTATAGTTGGTGTTTTCCATTCTGTAAATAATAGTTTTTTTATTCATTATTTTCTTTATTTAGCTAGTTTGCTAATATCAATATATAAGTCAAAACATAGATAATTTAGATACAATTAAAACTAACCAAAATAGGCCTTAAATCTTTATTTGCGTTTTTTGTCATAGCAATTTTTGAAATCTCTAATGACGAATTTATCAAATTTGGTTCTGAGATGTTGAGAAAACAGTTTTTTAAAATATAAGTGTTAATGTCATCTGTGCTACTTTTATTTTTCATTGCAAAAAGAATGTCTCTTAAAGAATCCACCGTACATAGTTGAAATTTTCCAAGAAAATGTCCATTGTGTCTGTCTAAAATTTGGTAATCTCGTATTGTATGAGTAGATGAGATTAGCCAGTTCTGGACCAAAGTCAGAGGTACAGAGAGAGGTAATTGAGTAATTAGTAATTATCCTAAGTACTCACCCTCACCCTTCGCGCAATTAGCAAGTACTAAGGCTAATCTTGTATAATCAATCATTTGGCATGTCAAAAATATTTTTTATAATAACATTATTTTCTAGTTCAAGTTCAATTAAGTTATTCGACTTATTATTTTTTGGAATCAGACATTCAAGATATTTCCACATTTCCTTTGAATTTCCCCTACTTTCGTAAATATTTCTATGTGTTTACTTTTTTCTGTTCTAATTACGTTAACGGTCCTATTTCTATGCATTTTGTATTTATTCCAATTATTTTCTATTTTTTCTTGTGAATAATTTTTATATGCACCTTCTAATAAAAATATTGAATTATATTAGAAATTTAAACGTCAAAATGTGATGGTGTTATTTGTGTAGTGTTTCATCTCATTTAAATTTCACATATTCCAAAAATTATTGTCAAATAAAGTTTCTAAAATGTCGCAGCATTTAACTAAGGCTCAAAACTGACAAATTATCAAAATTGAAAGAAAATTAGTCTTTAAGTGAAGTGGTTTTAATGAAAAAAGAATAGGAGAGTATCTAAAGTAGTGACAAACCTCTGTTAATTCTCCAGGTCCTAAGTCATTCCAGAATTTTGAATTTTGGTATGGATCCGTTGGATAGAAAATGACAGGTGTTCTTTCGCCATGTCTAAATATCTAAAAAAATATTCCAATTTTGACTTAAAATAATAATAGTGTAAATTGTGGACAATTATAATAGGTTTTCTTGTATGAATGGTACTTTTTTTGCATATTGGATTGGGCTCCTATACAACTTTCAGAATTGGATGGATTTTCACTTAAGGCTTCCAACATAACTCTTATTTTAATTTCCATTAATTAAATTTATAAAATTTTTCTACAACTGGTTTTAGTGGGTTGATGTCTTTCTAGATACAATTCCAAATATCTAGCAGATGCTATTTTAGCACTTTAGTGCAATTGCAAATAAATTGCCAACATATCAAATTTTCTTCGTTTGAAAGTAAAATTAAAAAAAAAAATTATCAAACTCGCGTCAAACTATTTAAACAACTTTTTACAATCTTTAACAGACAAAAATATCCAAGCTGTGTTGGATGGTATGATACTCATTAATGGCTTGAGGCAGTCATTTGTCAGTCAGATTTTTTTAAATTTCCATTATTTCTAAAATACTAACTTTTATGTCAAGGATTAACAATTTTTTTCTCATTGCAACAAATTTTACTGATAAAAATGGATATAAATTAATAAGTTTAATTAATTTACCTGCACAACTGACAACAATTCACTGTCTGCCAATGTAGCACAACATAAACAAAGTAGATAGTTTATGACTAAATAAAACTTCATTTTAAACAACTTAAAAACAGGTATATTTTAAATAAACATACAAATTATACTTTTACCCATTATATTATTTTTGAAATAACTAATTTGGAAACCTAATTAGTGTCGTATTTTTTTTATTTCGAATTATTTGTTTAAATTACGGGTATTACTCTTTATCTTTCAGCTGATAAGTATCTACTTGTATATTGGATGCTTTAAAAAAATTTGTTACAATTAGTATTAACTTTACTTCATCTTCGTGTCAGTTAAAAAATATTTAGTTTTTTATGCGTTGTATCAAAATATATTAATTAAGAAATCATTTACCATTAAAATTAAAATGCAATAAAATTACCTTCTTACCTTTAGAAATGACATCCTGCTCAAAACAAATACAGTGTAAATAAACGAATATCCTACTTAGGTGACAAATGACCAGCGAAACAAATAATACAACTATTTTAGAAATAAAATCTTTATATGCCAGATACCTACCTGAGAACGTTTCTCTTTTTTTTTAGTGTACATGTAGCAATTTTTCCTCCAGTCATGTACTTCCCTCTACTTTAAGAAATCATAAAGAGATTAAGGGATTTCAGGCGAACCCATAAGCCTTACGCACGGGAAAGTGTACTTTTGAAAAGTTTTCCCCAAAAACGGCTTATCGAAAATAATAAACCGAACTGCTAAACAAACATCTAAGTGACTCCGGAAAGAACGGGGCTATCATAAAAATTACATAAGGAGGGGAGAGAGAAGCTGCGCATAGATTTACATATATGAATGAATATGAAGTATCTACCTATGTAGATGAAAAACAAACAAGGAATATTTTTATGAAGTTTGCCTGCACTTAATTTAAAGTTCTATTGACTTTATTACTTCTTGAATGAGACTTTTTGAATAAGGATTTTATTATATTAAAGAAAAAAAACAGCAAGAACTGTGCAAAATTCCTATTAAGGCTGTTTTAGCGGTTCAATATTTTAGTATTATTCAAGTATCTTAGTTACTTATCATCAGTATAATTTCATTTTTTTCAAAAGAAACTCCCTAATAGACTCTAGTCTTTTAATTTTTTTGTTACATCCTAGTTTTTTAAATAAAAATTAAAAATGAATATTAAATTTTATAAATTTGTAGATATCAATTTTTGGAAAACTGGAGTTTGTAGCTGATTTTTATCTATTTTTCTTTCTATTTACAAGTTTGTGCTAAAATCAAAAACTAATTGAGTTTTGTAGTAAACCGTTTTCCAATAATATTTTTATTTCAAACTTTTGAAAATATTTCCCTCTTTAGCTGGTCACATTTGTGAGACCCCCTTCCTAGTGTGACGTCACATATTTTGCAATTTTACATCTAGACATTATTAAATTAAAACAGCAGTTTCAAAATCAGTTTTAGTTCCATTTAAATTATTTTTAATAAAATAAATATCAAATCAAACATTTAAAAAAATTAACAAAACAAAAACGATTATTTGTATCATTGAAATATTCATTCATCTTGAGTCCATGGACTTTGAACCCACTGCTTTAAATTATTTATAACTTGCATAGCAGTCACTTCAGTCTCGTTTGGGTTGTTATTACCAGAAACATTCGTTGTGTCAACATTTTTTTCATCCATGCAAATAGCATCATCGTTATCCAAACAAAGAATTTATCTCGCACGTCTTGTTGCCTCTTATGTGATTGCTTGTGTTGGTTAGTGGCATTGTATGATGCAAAATATGGACCACAGATGCCACACGATCGCTTAAACAAGTATGCCTCGACACTGGGACAATAGCTTCAAATGTGATGATGCTCGGAGATCCAAAGATAGCTGATGTAACAGTGGAGCAAATTTACCATCGGAGTCATCTTTTTAATGGTTACATAACTCTTTGACGTCTGTTTAACAAAAATAGGTGGTGGTAAAACCCCCTCTCGTATTAGTCGCCAAAGGCTTGATCGCCGCACACCGCAACAAAGGACAACCTCGCATTTTACACATGATTTGCGTACCAAGTCGCATCATTTTTTAATACTGTTACGAATAAATATAACACCCTGTGAATAGGTATGTTATGATTTGTAAAGTTTTGTCCAAGGGCATGCGCGCTAAATAGATTTTCAATAAAATAATAAAACGTGTAGTTGGACAAGGTTTTATTAAATCAAGTACAGGGTCAAGAAAGATCAACAAGGGCATTCTTGGAAAATTACAAGTTAATTTTCGGGGATTCCTTTTGGTTTTTGTTGACGAGCGGTCGTAATCGTTCGTACTAAGTGAATTCCTTTTTTTTGTGTCAGTAAGTAGAATCACGGATCGGTCACGCTAAATCGCGGTTAGTTTTTTTTGTAAAGCACAGAGGGAAAAATAACATGTGTCTCAGCCAACCCTGCAACCTAATGGATTAAAATAAATATAATGTTCATGTAAGTAAATAGTTTTAAGTAGTAATATTTAGTTTTGTGTAGACAGCAAAGACTACTGAATTGCTGAAGCAATACTAGTTGTTTCTATACTTGTTGAATAAATCATAGTTATTTGTTTTACGCATGTTGTTTCATTTTTTTTGTTTATAAAAACTCACGATCATTCAAAGGCGAGGGTATTGGCTTAGTCAGATCTCTGAGAGAGATACTGCCAAAGGGAATAGTCCCTGTAAGGCAAACCCTTCCCCCGCCCTCTGAATCATCGTCAGGAAGTTAGGGTTCCTTAGGCCCATCCCGTCTGAACCTAACCTCCTAGCCGTGTATTATCTAGATGCCAATTTGAATACAAATTGGGTCACTCTATATAACCCGTGGTACCGGTAAAAGTGGACTTTAGGGTCAGTCAAAAGGGCCTATAATCTCACTTTTAACAATACCTTAGCCTGTTCAATATCCAATCTAGTATCTGTTGGCACAATGTATTTGGCAATCACAGGAAAATCATCAATGACCAATTGTCTCCAAATATTAGACAGCACAATGCCTGCACTCTCAAAGTTTCGTTTTTCTAACTACCTCCAAGTCAGTAGTTCTCTTACTGGAATCGAGATGTGAACCAAAATTGTCATGTTTTACTAGAACACCAGTAAATTCGCGACTAAGAGGCACCATTCGTCGTTCCATCATGTTGAAAGCATTTCTTCCTGGAGTATTTGTGGCAATGTAGATTAGATTAGGAGTTGGACGTTATTTGTCCTTGTCTACTGCGACATTTTTAGATCTATTGTAGGACTCCGTTTGTTTTAGAGAATTTCGTCTAGCCTGGTCCTTTTTATTAGACTTAGTAGCTTTGACAGTGGCTCCCGCATGTAGTTGCATGCATTTGGCTTTTCTTCGCCCAATGTTAGAAATCTCATTCCAGCCAGGCGTTCATATTGGCAGAGGACGTGGAATGATGTTTCCTCTTCTTCTTCACAGAACCTGCACAAAGTTGCTTCTTCTGCTGGACTGATGACACTCATGTGCCTTTTGAGGAGACAGTGTCCAGTAAGAAGGCCTACTGTTATCTTAACGGTTTGACGCTTTTTATCCAATAGTTCTTCGTGAACTTGGCCGATGTTTCCTTGATAAACTGTTTGACCTGTCTCAATCTTGGATAGTTGTTCGACCATTTCTGAGACTCTGTTTGCATCCATTGTGTAATGAATAACTTGCACAATGCCTTAGCAACTCCACAGAAAGGTTCGGGGCCTGTCCTGTCCTTATCTGAGCCTTCTAGAGCTAATTCGTCGGCCTTTTCGTTGCCCTGATACCCTTCATGGCCTGGAACTCAGGCTAGGGTCAATTTATTTTGACTAATTAGCTTTGCCAGGTCTTATAGACAATCTTTCACCAGTCGTGATTTAATTTCTGGTGAGAGAATTGTCTTTAAAGCTGCTTGGCTATCAGAGTATACGGCAGTTTATCTTGCACAGTGTTGTATGGCTATTAGCTCAGCCTGGAATACTGTTGCATATTTTCCTAAACTCAGCGAAATCGTTGTTTTCGACTTGGGTCCATCCATAGATTCCAGCACCGGCCACGTCCTTGGTTTTTAATCGTCTGTGAACCAGACGAGTTCAGCCTGTACGGAAGGTTACTGTTTCCAGGATTCTCAGGCTGGTATTTGAATTTGAAAATTTCTTTCAAATTTGTGTGGTTATGGCTCTATCAGTAGGCATAGCTAGAATATTACCTCTTTTTACTTGCTGATATAGCCTTGTGTGGTCGGCGCTATGTAGTTGGCTTATTGGGTTGTCCCTGCATTAGCTTGTGAATAGCTGACCTGGTTTCTCCTTGTATGATGTGCAGTGGCCTGAGTAGCACTTAGACAGGCAAGCCGCTAAATGCTAGAGAGTTGGCCTATTGCACTTACCTGCGCAGTTTTGGTTACCCACGCCACCGTGCCATAGGTTATCATGAGTCTTATTACCCTTGTGTATAACCATATGATTATTTTGGGGTTTAGACCCCAGTTTTTCCCACATATTCTTCTACAGCTTGTGAACTTATTGCAGCTTTGTATGTGAGTTTTTTGAGATGTTGATTCCACGTCAGTCTTTGGTCAAATATGACTTCGAGGTGGCAATGTAAATAGCATCCAAGTCAAAAATTTTAAAATGTTGTATAGGTGAAACTATAACTCGCTCGTATAGTGGATTTTCGTCGAGATCGCCATCGCAAGTAAAAATAAATACGGGTTTTACAAAACCTTTTCGAGTTCTTATAAAGTTTTTGAAAGCAGGTGTTTCGGAAAGTCTATGTACAAAACGACAGAGATTATGTGACAGAAATGGAAGAATGCGGACTAATGAATGACATTGTATCTACTAGTAATAAGCTGGTTCAAAACAGCCACAGTTTATTATTAAACATAATTAATAATGCTGCAGAGACATATAATTGAATCATAGCCAAATCTGTTGGAAGAAAAGGAATTAATTTTGCAGTATAAGGAGGATATAATGTTCGGTGTACAGGTGCAGCCATTTCTTTTAATAAAAAAGACTATATTCCCACTCTTTATAAAAAGCTGTCAAAAAGTGTTTCTGGGAT